CATTCACTTGAGCCCCGAGTTCACTGGTAAATTACTGACCATAAACTCTGAAAGATTGTTTTCACTGAATGTATTGCAGTGGATGCTACAGCTACTTTTTTCTGGTAAGAATTAGAGGATCATAATATGACAACTGACAGGTCATATGAGTAAGAGACTTGGAACCTTTTCAGATATGAGGTAAAAGACGTCTTGGGGAATATGAGCAGACACAATGCATTAGAAGCTTTGTGATTTTCCCAATTAGTTTCTATCTAAGATTAAAATCATGGCTTTGTGGAATACAAAAAAAGAGGTCATAATAGTTGAGGATTTGTCCCACTTGCCACCAGCGAGAACAGAAAGTGAGAAGGTGGAGGCTGGTAGATGACCCTGATTACGGACGTTTCACTTTGATTAGTTTGTCTTTGTGAATTAATGTCTTATGGCAAGTCTCTATAAATAGATGTTACCTACTCAAGGTTGGCCATTTGGAGTGTCAAGATTCTGTTAAGGTGACTGGAATGGTACATGCTCCTGTTTTTTTTATTTTAAAGTGGGTCACTTATGTGAGAGTGAAACAAGCGTATAACTCATGATGAATTTCTTTTAATGTTTGTGGCATATCGGGTAGACAAAAGTGTATAATAGCAGTAGTAGTAATTGAAATAGTAGTAATCTAATAATCTATCTAGGGAGTCATACGACCAGCGCTTTTGTTTTGAAAGAAACTTGTGACAATTACCAAAGCAGACAAAGAAACTAAATGTAATTTGCATTACTTGGTATTAGACAAAATTGCAAAATTAACTAGTATAACCATAAGAATAGCTCCAGAAAATCATGAAATCATGTCAAATGGAGAAAATTTTTATCAACACAGTAACAAGTTGAAAGTAACCAACAGGGATTTGAAAGAAATACAACATATAGGGGACTTCAATGCTGCTAAAACCTAATTTGATCCTATTTAGAGCAGTGTTTGCAATAGTGATTTTGTCGCTTCAAAGTTTGGCCTTCTGAAATCTAAAATATACCCTGGCCACCTCAATAATCGATCCCTCACATTAGTACAATTGGATATGAAAAAAGTAAAGAAAAGGGATAGGCATTATTTTCCACTATACGTTCCGCAATAAGAATATTGGATCTCTTATTTTAGCCATTAAAATGCCTGCTCTTCAGTGAGTTACTAATGCACCTCCAAACAACAAATTTATTTCCATGTTAATTAATTTTTTTCACTTATTACTTCAGCAAAGACACCTTAGAAATTCACTTGCATAAAGACAAACCTTTACCCTTTGGTTTCAGCGGCTTTGCTAATATATCTTTGGCCTTTTGGGAAACCGTTTTCTACACTGTCTCGTAGTGAATTATTACACTTTTCACTCTGAAAGAGGCTCATGCTTTATGGAATAATGATGATGAACACTGGGAAGAAAAACACTGAATCGATACAAATAGGTTTACGGTAGAAGTCAGCTGCTGTGTGGATGATATACTCTCAGATGCATTTTAGTCAGGCAACTCATCTGTAAGATACTGCAAGACACGTATGCCTCCTCCCACTAGAAAACAAAATGAAATGAAAAACTGAAATGAAACACTCTGTAAATGCAATGCTGATCATACGTTGTTGTAAGGATGAATATACAGTTTTCACGAGAATACAAATATTTTGGGAATATTTTAGCGACGTTATTACAACAATGAATAAAAAACAAACAAACATCTTCTGTCACTGTCTGTCTACAGTATATCAAAACTAACATTGTCTGCACTAATTTATGTTTTGACTGATGCAAATGAATAGATACTTTTCAAAATAATGAGTGAATAATTAGTCATAATTAAGTGCGCTAACAAGTGCTGCTGTATTAACCGATTTCTCCATACTGGCGTCGTCAGTGCTCACTGCATGCCAAGCTTTATTTTAATGATGCTGTCTGTCCCAATCAGTGTCACGCTATTCCTGTAGAGAAAAAAGTCAATTATGAACCTTTCAATGTGCCATGCTCTATTGATGCTATTTCTATCTTACACAATTCAACATTCAGTGTCATAATAAAACAGTAACACACAGGGGACATTCTTTCAAGTGATTGTAAATCCAGGGGTGGTGCTGCTATAGAAATTTGTTACTAGTAGTACTTCACTGAGGTGCTTTTCATTACAGATATACCTCAATTAATACTTTATTTATTTTTCAGCAATTTAAATATACAATCATATGTGTGTTCATACAAACAAGTGGACATGTGTTTATATAAACATTGATCAGAGTGTATTTAAGTGCTTTTAATTATGCATTAAGATGCACAACCAGCTAGACAGTAAGATGACGACATCAGTGCTCATAACTGCACATTAGAAAAGAGAATAAGTAAAACAATAAAGTACAACAATTACACTCTCAGTCAGTAAGACTTCTAATCAAATTATCAACACAATAGGAAAACAAAGTGAACATTTTAGTCCTTAGACCACGGGTCAGCACAATAAATGTCCTGTAAAGCCATCTACTCATTTAAGAGAACCACCCAAAAGAACTGAAAATGCACATTATCCAATGTACAACATAAATTCCACTCAGTACACTTGACACCATCTTAGAACAGTGATATCATGTAAGAAATCCAATTGCAGTAAGCTCCGAGCAGTATTTTATACAGATGTCCAAATTAATCTGTTTGGTGGCCCGAGGGTAAAAATTAGCTTCTGGCCTCCTGCTGTCTAATGCACTGTGAATGTAACCTGTTGCCTCCAATTTGGTGCATATTTAAGTATGCTACTCGCAGCCTACAATAGATGGCAACTTCATAAATGCAACTGCACCTATTTATCACCTAACTCTGTTTTTTCTTCGTGTAAGTTCGTTTATGGCAGTTTCCACAACATTATGTGGGAGAATGCACCATTTAAGCATAATTCAAAATGAAATAATTAAGCTTTTAAAACTGGATTTTGATACAGAGCCTACAAAATAGGACTCTTTTGTACACCAAAAAGATAACACAGAAACAGCCATACAGAAATCCTGGGGCTTGAGGGGCCCCTGGACATCTAGAGCCCCAGAGCACCTACCCACTTTGCCTGCTTGGTAATCCAGCTTTACGTACATGTATTCCCATGTCTACTCTATGTGACCTTAAGCTCATATCTTATGACACAACCAGCAGGAGTTTAAACAGAATGCCTAGCTCATGCAAGTGTCTCACTGTAGGAAGATTTGGCATCCTAACTACTGTATGTGGCATTCCCATTTCTACACTACATTCTCACTATTCCTCATGAGGATGTTTAAAGGACAGAAATGCTTAGTGTTTGCTACTGCATCAGAAGAGCTTTCTTGCTATCACTACAGCGAGCGTGAACACTAAAATGCATGACAATGAAAACGGGGACAGTGATTTCAAACTCTGTATTTGCTGAAGATTAATAAAACTCACTGTATTCACAGGTGTAACTGGACAGATGTCTCTTTTTTTGTGGTCTCTTTTGTTCTATATCCATAAATAACTGAGACCACCTTGTGTTTGAAGTCAGATACACGCAAAAATGTTAATAAGCAGTATGCCATACAGTTGTACTTCCGGATGTAGTCTCCCTCAGTAGTTAATTAAAAAGGCATCTTTTTGATCTCATAATAGCCCTGCTGCCAGGGTAAACAAAGCAAGTGACAATGACACAATAATGGATTTTTGCATTTCAAGAGAAGATACAACTTTAATACTGGTCTATTTTTAACTGTTTTGTTTAGTAACATATTTAGGTATGGTATTTATTTAAAATATTTGTGGTAAAAGCATCATATCATGCTCTACAAAATCTATAGTTATTGTTACATCTGCCAAGGAGGTTGTGTTTTCACCCGTCTCTGTTTATTTGTCAGCAAAAAGTACTGTACTGATTTTCACTGAACTTGGTAGGGGGATGGGGCATGGGTCAGGGACAAAAACATAAAATTTTGGAACAGATCTATGAATTTGATGTTTTTTCTCTGAAGTCTGGTGTATGTTGTTTGACATTGGCCTTGGCAGAGGTCTGCGCTCTCCGAGTGCCCTTTTAGTTGGTAAGTAGTGGTATGTATTTATCTTTTGTTTTGAGTTTATCATCACTGGACTAAAGATGAGGAAGAAGACATTCGCTAACAAAATTTAGGACTGTTTAGGGCAATTTAGGACCACTGGCCTGTCTGCTCGTTCAGACCAAAGAAACAGGCAATCCCTTCTGTGATTCTCTGCCCACTTTGTCTTGACTGACAAATAAAGACTTTGTGGTGAAAACTGGCAATTTGAAATTAAATAGCTATTGGTAAAAATTGAAATGTAAAATAAAAGCAGACTTTGGAAAATATTGAAATCAAAACTGCTGGAATGAAATAAAAATGACCTGAAATAAACTCGTTGTGAAAAGAAGCAAGATGAAAAAAACAAACCATAAAAAGTTAAATTTCATGGTCATACTATATCTTAGTCTGTATTTATTCATATTATTAATTATTAATTTTATGATGGGATTTACATTGAATTTCGGAGGTAATATTCATTGAAAAAGAATTTCAGAATTGTGTTCAACTAAGGGAATTTCAGACAGGACATCTCAAAGAATTAGCACAATTCATACAGTGTTGCAACCCTTCAGCCCAGTAACTCAAATACAATATATTGTATTGCACAAAACAACATTGACTGCACCATTGATACAATTCTATTATGCTGCTATGAACAAGACCTTTAACATGGAAGATTTGTACGTGCACATATTAACACATATTAACCAGCCCTCTGGTTCGGTTTCAGTCGTCGGTTGCTGACCCTGTCACAGTTGCGTCACGTAACCATGGAGACATACCCTGCCTTAGCTAACCGTTGTCCTACAACTCCTGCACTGGCTTCCATATTACTCACTTTATGTAAACATAGACTGTAAAGATGCGTTGCTTTTTCAGTGTATCTATTTGAAACGCGTTGGGATAGCGTAGCAGCCAGAATATTTAATGTGGGTAAATACACACCTGTTTTTCCCCCTAACGTTCACGTGGAGTTACGTAAAATGTTCAGGAATAATTATCAGGTAAGTTTATCGTAATCCAACTAAATGAACTATTCTGCAAAAGCCATGCTCTTTGGATATATGCTATATTTAGTCTCATATGAGCTTTAGTCTGGTGTAATATTAGCTACAGGCTCACAATGACAATAAATTTTGTAGGGTGGAGCTGTGGTTGAGATCTTCAGCGGACAGGGAAAAGACCCTGTAGCAAAATGGAAACTCTGTGGTGGGCCGTCGGCCATATACAAGGTGAGTTTTCAGAGTTGCTATTATCTTATCTCATTTTTATTGTAATTAAACGCGGTTATAGCACATAATCAGATTTAACTAACTCATGTGACTTGTTAGTGAAGCTGGCATCTACAGGGCCTGGAGAGAAAGCAACAAATGATATCAAATAGTCCAAACATCATGCATTTAATGAATACCACAGAGCTGAATTATCGACCTTGAATGAATCAATGCATTACAAAAGGAACGTCAGACTGAATGCTAAAGAAAAGCAGGTCTATAGCTTTACACTGCACAGTCATCATGGAAAGCTCCAGTCCATAATTACATCATATGTTTAGGTTCCCACTTGAAGTTTTGGGACGCTAATGTCAGACCTTGTGAACCTATCATTGCAAACTCAGGGAAAATACAATCCCAAGTTATCACTGAATTGCACTGTTAGATAGGGGAGAATGAAAGCTTGTTCTTTGCACAGACTTTAAAACCCAAAGCTCATATATATGCTCTCATAAAAACAAGCATTTGCAGTCAATGAGAGCAGTCATACCACAGGTGCACAATAGTGGTCATACTCAGCAAGGACTTAGACCTGGCAAGTCTGTATTATTTCTTCCCCCAGGAGTATAATAAAGAAGTCAAAGGATTTGTTTACTGCCTGGAGGGAAGCAGCCAGACAGTCAAGATGCAAATGCCAGAGAGTGTGAAAATGTCTCGTAAGTCACTACCATACTAGCACTCATTTATAAAGTTTGTTTTGCTTATTTCCACTTATTTAAAGTAATTCACTTCTTTGCCTATTCTTTTTCTTAGTTGGGCTTCTGCAAAGATTCTTGGTCCTTCAAGTGAATATTCCTCAGTGCAAAGACTTTTCTATTGAGCTGGCGTAAGTGCTGTCAGTTTTTTAAAAACATACTTTTATATACCTTATAAATGTCAGCTCACCTTGAACACTATTTGTGGGAGTCTGCACTGTTGTGGATTTCAATCAAACGATCTTTAACTGAACTGTAACTGATGAAATTAGGCTTAAGAAGTTCCTTTAATGGAGTAAATTAGCATTTTATCACCAATGTATTCCAGAAAAAAAATTATATTGTAAACATTGTATACAGTAAAATACTGCAAATAATTTACACAATAATTAATCAAATTGACTTCCCCTCAGACCAATGAAAAAATGATTAAAAGACAGTTTATATGCATCTAGTTGGAAACCCCTTGAGCCACAGGAAAAATTGAGTGCATCATTTTAGCAATGACTATTAATAGCTTAAATAACCATTTGTTATTAAGATATTGGTAAACTATTTTCTACAAAGAAGGCTTTTATTTTGTCAACAATTGTAAATAACAGGTTACATTTAAATGAATAAGCCAAATTTGTAAAATGTAGTATAATGTGTGGATGTAGTGCTTATGGTTCTCCGCCACATGTTTTGCCAGTTGGGGGTTTTGACTGTGTACTTGTGTACTTGTCTACTTCAGTGAGATCTAGTTAATACTCCTGCATTTAGTCACTGAAAGGAGAATGCCATTCTATTAGATACCAATGTTCCTATGATCAACAAAACACAGTTTATGCAATCAAGGCTGTTCAGGAGTTCCCAAGAAATGTTTATTGTGCTTAACTCTTACTTACTCTTACTCTTTATTTGTGAATTCACTTCATGGTAAAATTTAAATGAATGCAGGCACATGTTGTGGTATACAACACAGGTGCTGTCATGTAGGCCATATAGAAAACCAAAGACAGGCATACTGTCAAAAGTTGAAATACATTCTTACTTACCATTATTTTAAGCATCTGGAATAATTGCCATTGTTCTTCTTCCCTTAGATTGTCTCTTGACAGCAGAATTCACAGCACTATATAAAGGTGAAAACACCTTTAAGGTTACCTTAGCTTGTGACTTTCTCTGGTCAGGACTTCTTAGCGACACCAACGATGCTGGTGATAATTTTTTTTTCTGGTCTGTTGTCTGCTATTCACAGGATAACTGATTCAGAGCACCTGAAAAGAAGACTTCATTTATCAACAGTGCATAAAGAGTTGTCTGTCACAATTTTACATGCAAAGATACCTTTTGTGGGATTGAAACGGAATATTGTGAGTATCTAATGAGTATCTATCTAGATATTATAATGTGTTATCACTGGTGTGCATACTTTTATTCTTTTAACTATGAAATCATATTTCTGATGTCTCAGTGGTCTACTTTGTGCCTCGACCTTGAATCCTTCACTGCTGAACTGTTTAAAGGATTTTTGACACTGGATGGCATCACTTTGTTTGCTACCTGTAAAGTCCGCAGAATCTTCACCATGAAAACAGAGCCTACAGGAATGTCAGATGATGGTAATGTACTTGGTCACACCCAAATGATTCATGTAAAAACAGTTTTATCAGCTTCTCTTTAGGTCTCCTCCATGAGTATTACTAAAGACATACAATAGCAAAGCAGTTTTGATTGAGGCCAGCCAATGTCTACAACTAAATTTGTTGTCAGTCTTGTGAGTTTATATGAAATATTGTGTGGAGAGAGAAACAGACAGTTGGCCAACGGACAGTTGGCTGAGAGTTCATTGGTGTTTTTATGTCTCCACACTGGCGACAGCCAGGGCATTATGTTTTCAGGTTGTCTGTCCCATTCTTGTGAATGCGATATGTCAGTAATGCCTTGAGGTAATTTCTTCAGATTTGGCACAAACATTTACTAGGACTCAAGGATGAACTGATTAGATTTTGGTCGGCAAAGGTCAAAGTTCAAGGTCACAGTGACCTCTTTTGAATGTGATATATCAGGAATGCCCAGAAGGAATTTCATCATATCTGATGCAAACATTAATTTGGACTCAGAGATGAACTGAAGGTCACTGTGACCTCATGAATTCATACGCTAATTGTGACACAATTAAACACAAATGGTCAAAGGTCAACTTCACTGTGACATTGTAAAACACTCAGGAAGGGGAGATTGTGACCATATTTGCTGCAGCTTGGGTGGTTGGCAGAGGCATACAACTAGTTTGTTTAACTCTGATTTAGCTCAGCAGTGCCAACAGCTGCATGCAGTGGTTACTCGGTGCACACTGACACTACCTGTCAGAAAAGGCAGCTCTCATTTTGTATTTGTCAACTGATCAAAGTGTTACCGTTGTTATGTGATGTCATGACATGATAATCTGTTTTTGGTTTATTCTATGATTATGATTAATCTGAGATTGCTCTCATTTTAATCTAGATATGTTTCTCAGTGGAGCTGGTCTCACGGACTTGATCCCTCGCGGCTGCCAGTTCCCACCAGATGTAAACCATGTAACTCAGATGTTTAACATGGAGAATCTGAAAAAGACAGAGATGAGGACTGGCCTTGTGAATTCTGACCGTGGTAGGTAAGATAAAATCAAATGCTTCTGAATTGATTCATTTTGCTCTAGTCAACAAAGGAAACAACTTATGTGGCCCAATGTGGACCCCTGTCCACACAATTATGTGTTCTTTTGGTACAGGTGTGTTTTTCATGGTCTGGGCTAGGCCCCTCATTTCAGTTAAGGGAAATTGTATTTCTATATACAATGCTATTTTAGACAATAGTGTGCTTCAGTTGTGTGGTAACTGAATAGGGAAGGCCTGTTCCTTTTTTAAAATGACAAAGCCCCCACGCACAAATCAAGGTTTGTAAAGAAATGGCTTTCCGATTGTGGAGTGGAAAAACTTCACTGGCCTGCACAGACCCCTGATCTCAACCCCAACCAACACATTCAGGATGAACTGGAGTCCAGCCAGGCCTTAACATCCAACATGAGCTCACTAATACTCTTGTGGATGAATGAGAGCAAATCCCCGCTGCCCTTTTCCTTTCTTTAAATACAAAATCTCATGGAAAGCATTCCCAGTAGAATGGAGCCTGTTATAACACCACATTAATACCCATGGTTTTGGAATACAGTGTTGAACAAAAACATATAGATATACATATATTCATAGAATGGGTTCTTCTGGGAGCAAGTTTTGACGGGAATTCTGAGGGTGTGAATTTTTACATTTACAGTACAAGTATCAGCCACAATCCACCCATGATGCAGTACACAGAAGGATACAGAGAAGCATCATGGTGCAGAGATTGTTACATGTAGAGAAATAGTTTTCTCTAAAGGGAATATGATGATAATCGATTTGTTTTCCTCGTATGAAATTCTTGCGGTCTTCATTTTTGTGTTCATTTGTGCCTCACCTGTACTTAGAGAGCTGCAATTATCTCCTCATATAAGAAGATATGCACCAGTAATCCAGTTCCACCGCCTCTGTGGCCTTTTTATCAGTGCTTATTTATTTGTTCTGACAGCTGTCTAAGTCATGTTGAGTCAACCGGCAATGCCCATAGAAGAGAGCAGTAACCACAAGCAAAAAATATCTTTTCATAATTAGCATCTGCATTATTAGCATAACATTCCTAATCATAATTAAAACGATTGCTATTAAAGTAGGCATCCAGTTTAACTGTGACGAAAGTTGCTTTGTGGCTATTGTTGCTTCAGTATCCAATCTGTCAGAAACTGTTAAAAGTAAGCTACAGTAGGTTTTGTCATGCAACAACAAACAAATCCCAATATACCAAAGACATTCTGTTATTCTCAAGGTCAATACATTTTCACAGATCAAAATATTCTTTAGTCCATCAACTACCATATACTGTATCTCACTTTTGTATCATCATTCATTGTTCAATCTGCCGCATCAAAAAAAGTGTGACTCTTTTTCTTTAAGGCCATCCAGTTCAGTTTGTCTGTATCATTTTGTTGGTTTTGCGTGTTTTGTGGACTAGAAGTGTGTGCTCTCTGCTCTGATGAGGATCAGACAGAAAGCGTGTTTTGCTGTTAGCACCAGTGGAGTTGTCCTAATGAGCCGTGCCACAAATAAAAAAGGGTCAGGTCATTGCCATGTCACGACTCCCACTGCAGCCCATTATTTTCACATGATGATATAGAACACATTGACAGATTAACGAAAAACATCAATTCAATCAGCTCAGCAGCAGTCTAATTTATATTCAACCATTTGTTTTCTTTGTATGTGAACTGCATGGTTTAATCAATTGGCTCTAACTCAAAGTAGTACTGTCTGCTGCAGCTCACAAAATCGTGTAAAACATCATTAATACTGAAACGACGCATTCACTTGACTCTTGTGCTCAGCTATCGGCAACCGGACTTCAGATAAACAGAAATTTATCACAGTATAGTCTGGTTATGTTGGTAATATAGTGTATCAAATCTCAAAAACATACTCCAGTACATAATGTATAAAAAGCCTTGTTTTTAAAGTATTCTGTTCAGGGTAAAAAAAAGACTTTGTGGCTAGTGTGAAGGCGGCTTGTCACTGATCTTAAAAATGGTCATCTGAACCCTTCGCAGTGAACTGGCTTCATGCATGTATTTTTCATCAAAACAAACTGTGTGACTTTTGTCAATCTGAAGCATAACTTTCGTAAGTTGCAGTGGGTACTTAATCATTAGTATGACTGGCATTAGATTAAGAAATTGCTTAATATTTTCAGCCCTACTTTCAATATAGTTGAAGTTCAATGATAAGTGGTGCTGTACCATAAATCAAGCATAGTCATAGTCAAGGAACATCGTATCCAAATAACAGGTCAATAATAGTCATGAATAATGGGAATTTCCCTGCAGTTCGTGATCAGTCTGGCACTGCCAGATCAACCGGTTACCGACAAACCAGGCCCCAGGGTGTTTTACAAACAACCTCAGGCTCCAGGGCTTCAGGACCACCTCCACAAACTGGAAGAAAAAGCAGTGCAGCCTCAGACGGAATGGATAGAAATGTACTCTTTATCTCAAATACGGTAATTGCATGAATCCTATAATAAAATATCTCCCTAATTGATTTGGACCATCATGTCATAAATTACAATAAGCATAAAGTAGAATATGTTGTCTTTGAACTTGCTTTTCTTCTTTTGCTGTTTCCTCCAGGGATCCCCATTCAGTAGAGGGAACCAAAAAGTCTCCACTGAAAGTCAGAGCATTGCCAAACTGAGTGAGAATTTATCAGACGGAGAGCCGTCCCTCATTGTTCATGGAGGTAAATTTTTCATTCTTCATTAGTTTGTTTCTGTGTACACTAACTTACTCATGCAAAGAGCCATAGTTTATTTTCCACTTATCAGTCTATCAAGTTTTTAAATTGAATGATAAATGGCTATACCAGAAAAGTAAGCTAGTAACAGTGTATTTTTGGAGAATTAACTGCTCACATCAGGGTCCAAATTGTTGTTTGATGGTGCATGGGTTTGCTGCTACTCATCCTAGGCCCCATTGAAAAGCAGCTAACATGGAAGCAGCTAATGGCAGAGGAAAGTAAGAAAGAAAGAAATGTTGTTATTTATAGTCTTTTGTAATGTGGACCCAGAAGCAGAATGCAGTCAGAGCAAGTATAGTAAAAAACAATTTACTTTGTTCAAACAGAGTCGGTAATAGGTAAGCAATCAGTGAAGGCAAAGAAATCCAAAAAGGGAGCTGGCATGGAAGCATGCAGTATATGAGGCACATGAGGCAATTTGACCTCAAGAGAGTGAGTTTGTGGTTGAGTATATATACTGTATATACTAAGAAATCTACTAAAGAGAAGCTGAACCCAGTAAAGAAATACAGGTGATAAGTTGTTGGAAAAGATCCAGAGAAGTTACATCCGGTTGAAAGAAAATATTACATGGCACATTATAATGTCTTATTTGGAAAGGCCCTACCTACTTTCTACAACTTTTCAGCTAGCCTCCCAAGCCCTAATACCTTCCAACCCCTAACACCAACTTCTATCATTTGCCTACAAAGTAAATCAAGAGTACAGTGTGCAGTGTATGGTTTCTGAAGTTTTTTCACCTTGGTCTTGTTGGGATGAAGACTAAATCTCATTAACCGATCAAAACTTAATTTACTGATCAGATGATGTGAAATATACAGTATTTACTAAACTTAAATGATACTATGGAAAATGTGCTTTTATGAGTGTTACACCTTACCACACCTTAGACACTGATATAATAACAACATAAATGAAGTCAAAATAACAATTCTAAAGGATATTTAATACAATTACAGTAATAACATTAATTTAAAAAAAAGTAATACGTGTTTTCAGCTTTAATTGATGACAAAGTGAGAAGCCACAAGACTTGCTAGTGACTCTAGCTGGCTTTATCGCAATACCTGTAACTGTCCTATGTCATAAATGAAGCTTTATAGATGAAAATCACACGCTTCTTTTCATGACGTGAATATAATGTGCACCTATGCAGATCAGGCTAATAGCTGTGTGACTGCCCACTGTAAAAATGCAGACTGTATTCCTCTCATTACAGCTCTTTTTGGCCTTTGGAGTTCACACAATTATTCTTCTAAGCACTGTGAATCAGTAAAAGCAAGAACCAACAAACGAACCAACTCTTACAGTATGTTCTCCCAACCAATTAATAACAGCTTTTACAGTTTGTCATACACCATCATTTGAGCATGACTGAATGCAAAAATGGAGGATTAAAATTCCTTAATTCAGTTGAACATAATGTAGCTGGATCTATTCCCTCTGCACTGAATGAATGTAAGAAGCTCAGTTACTGAAATGCCTTCATTAATAGGGATTTTCACGGTGCATAATCAGTTCAAGGATATGCTTCTGGCAAGCTTTAATAACATTGTTGTGTGACTGTTTTGTTTTATAAAGCTTTTCTAATGTTGCAAGTACTGTATGTAGGAACACCTGGCGGGTTACAGCCTCATCCGCCAACAGACAAGCAGGGATCAAGGAAGCTGCAGGTCCTCAGTGCTGGGAGAGAGAGGCTAGCATCATCAGGTAAACTGCATATTATACTCTGGCTATATGCTGGGATATACTGTAGTGTTAGGTATGCTGAATTAATAATAATTTAGTACTGTATGCTAAGGTATTTAGTTCTAATTAACAGCCCATTCAGATGCTGCGCATGGTCACCACAGACAGAGGAGTAAAACCAGGGAGAAGTGCACTCCTCCATCCAGTTGCCGAGAGGGCAGGCAGCAACCTCTGATCCTAACAAAAAAGACAAAACACCTAACAGCAGGTGAGGCTCACATTTGCTGTGAGTGGTGAGGGTTCAAGGCAGCAGGAAGCAGCAGCAGGAGGACAGGTACACTTTTAGACTGAGTGATGGTTAGAAAAGCATAAAAAGACAGCGAGTGATGGGAGAACAAGACAAAAGAGAATAATATGCGTGTTGAGTGATATTGATGTCTACTTTGCATGTTACAATTTCACCAAGTAGCTCCTTAACACTTGAGAAAAATACCTATTCCTACTCTTAATTCATAAATTAGATCACTTCAAAATATTGCATGAATTTTAATGAGCCTCATTGTGTGCTGCATACACCGTGGCGTTTGTTCCCTTTTTTTAATCTTGCATAACCCACGTCAAGGCCATTTGCAGGATTTTTGTCGAAGTAGCCCCTACTCCAACCCACACACTCTCCCCCCACCCACTACCACACACACAGGCACACACACACACACACACACACACACACACACACACACACACTCACACACACACAAATCTACACCCGCATTGTGCTCACAAAATGAGTGCATGTGCTCTGAAAGCTCATTTATGGATGTTTCTCTACAGCAGTAAGCTCCTTTGCTGCCGCCCTGCCCACAGACGGAAAGTAGTTAGTTCATTAATGGTAATGTGGCACATTAAATAAAAGTCAGAGGGACATCTCCTGGGCCCAGGGTTTGCCACACAGTGGGCAATTAGAGAAAGTGATTATACTGTCAAGAGGTTCAAATGTGCTCACTCATTCAGATAGAGGTGGTTCTTTCTTTGAGCTCAGGCCTATCATGGACTTTAATGATTCAGTGTTTCTTACGTACACACCTGAATGTGTGCAACTTTCATTTAAGGTTGAAAAAGCTTTTACCCCCCTGGATATATGCTCAGGAACATACTAGTGTAAGATATTATAACACTGCTGTAAGCGCTGTCTGTTTTTCCTTGAACAAAAACAGAAAACCAAAATGAGATCAATATTTGCTTGGAATACAGATGTCTAGGCCAGTTAAATTTTTTAAGCATGTTTAAACTGAGCTGCTGTGTCATGAGTGAGAATTTAGCAGTAAACTGGTGTTCTTCATAGTGATTATGTTGTTTACATTGTTTTATTCTCATTAAGGTATCAGCATAGCAGGGCTATTAACTGAACCTACAGAAATGTCAGTGCAAGAGAAATTAATGTTCACTTTTGGCAAGCAGTGGAATTCATTACAATCTTGCACATTGTTGTTATGAATTTTTATGTGCATATGATCAAATGAACTTAGAATGACATCAGCCACATTATGAAAACATTAAAAAGGGATTTATTACTCACCGTAATTAAACTCCTATAATTATTCTATACTCTAATTTGTCGCCAAATCCTGCATGTGTATTCTGAAGGACTTATTGAAGTATTATAGCATTTGTACATTCAAAGCCATAAACTCCATTATTTTATGACATTGATATGCAACCATATCTTTTTCAAAGAGAGAATTTACTCCTAGTTAGGTTAAATCTGTCTTGCTTTTGTTTTGTCTTGTAACCTTTTATTTAAGATGAGGTCATTGCTGCAGAGGAAAGTTCCAGAGCTGCTCTCAACCCAGCAGAGTGTCTCTCCTGCTCGATCTGTCCAGGTTTGTCTTCTGACCTGCAGGTCTGGAGCAGCTGGGAGAGTAATGAGGGGTCTGAGCCCCAACTCACTCTGCAAGAGGAGGTGTTCATTTTCTCATCCCAGCCTCACTCACCCAAACGAGGGCAAGGCCAGGGTGACCAGGAGAAGATGGAGATGGGAGATGACCAGGTTCAGAGCAAGAGTAGGAGGCGGTATGAGGCTCAGCCTGAAGATGACTTTATCGGCAGTGAAAGTGATGAGGTACGTTTGCTCTGGAGGAGAGACACAAGTACACTGTACTTTAAATGCACACACATTTGAAGTGCATCTTATGTTGATCCGACACTTAATGACTATCTGCCTTGAATGAGCAATTTAGCTGCATTACATTCACATACGCTAGTAGTTTTGACAAATACCAGATTTAAAAACTATTTGTCCATTTTACAAGTGACATTTTTTACAACAGAAGTCTAATTTAATCACACTTCATCAGCAATTAATCAGGGGATCATAAAATCTCACATTATGCCCACAGTTGGATTTGATCAGTTAATTTTGATTAAATTTGAAATATTAACTTTAAGTGTTAGTATCAAATCAATCACGCCTTAGAATTTGTATTTTGGAGTGCATAGTTTCACATTGCCCATTTTACAGTATACTTTGACTTCACAGGTCAGTAGGGTTATTTATCATCAGATAATTTATTAATGGTTCTGAGACTTATAATAAAGGAAAGTATTTTTCTTTATGCTGAGCAGGGAAATTAAACTGTTGAACTATGAGTACAAAGATGACTATCTTCAAAGAAATGCTAATTGCTTTTACTTATTTAAAACGTTATAATAAGTTTGATAATTCAGATTTAAGAGCCTCATTTTGTTGCGCTCCTGATTAGTTTAGCCTTAATACAATTTTTTTGCCATTCACGTACTGCACTCTGTGTTCCTCATGTTAAAGACAAAATCCATCCATAGTGCATTTTTTTTTACTTATTTCTGAATGATGTGGATAAGGTACCAATCATAGACATTGTGTGACTTAATTTATAATGGTGTCAAGCAGGAGAAAATCTTCTCGAAAACATGAGCAGTAAATGTCAGATTTTGGTATCTGTACCGTAGGGCTTCTCTCAAGACTCACCATGTTCCACTGACACTGTGTGCCTGTGCAGATGTGCATGTATAGACCTCAAACCATGGGAATCTGGTTATAAAAACAGTATAACACAGGTTTGTTTGAAAAATATGATGCTTTTTATGGTGACCTTTGTAAACTGCAGGTAAAGTCCTTGTCTCCTGCAGAGCTCTATCCAGACTTGACATTTTTCTGTAGATTTTGCATTTGTTGTTGGTTTGGATTATAATTTTATATCTATATTCACCTCTGTTTAAAGTGCACAACTTTCTCAATTCCCTTGGCTGTCATTTTACATTGTTTACAAGCCAAAGAGAGCATATTATTAGCTCATTATCAGCACTGGACTACACCCCAAAACAAAAACAAAGACAGAGACCAATACAAGTAGTTGCTGCTGTCAAGGTGGGGGGAAATCATACAACACATTCACATGCATGCACACAGACACACACACACCCACACACGTACACACAAAAGCTGATTTCAAATGCTGCCCTAATAATGAGTCTATCAAAATACTTTCAAAAGTAACAAACACCCACCCACCATAACAAAGCATTGTCTGGGCTTTGACTAGTAGAATATAATGTGCAGCATATTTTCTTTCTTTCTCCTTTTTTTTGAAAAGACCTGCTGTACCCTACTGTTAGTACCAGGACAATGCATCTGCACACTGAACTGTGTGATTGAAAAACTATAGTAGGTAACCATTGGCATTTCTATTACTTGTTTCAACATAACACTTGCTCTGTTGCTACTAATATTGCTATGCCTATGGTTACATAGCTTATAATTAATTTCCTTCTTCACCTTTATATGTGAAAACCACTAATGTAACTTTTTGGAGAATGTCCAATGGCGCTTTAGGAAATTAATTGATAGCAACTACATTAAACAGCTGAGGTGATAGAAATGCATGCACAAAAAATTAAATTACAGCACTTCACAATGAAATAACACCGAAACAGTGTCTGAGGGGGGTGTTTAAAGGAGCACCTCTTCAAATTAACACATTAAAATCAGCTGCCATCACTCTGTATGAACTAGGGTTAGAGGGTGAAAAAGAAGTGTGTCATTTCATTCTGTGAGAGCAGAGTAAGTAATTTGATGCACTGTGTTTTGACACAACCAGCAGAAAGAAGGGCATTTTTATGTTTTCTGGCTCCCCACCTACAACTTTTCAATGAGATGGTCATTTTGAAAATGACTATTCTTCACAGGGGGAAAAGGGAGAGAGTCACACTTGTTTGTAATATCCAAAGAAAACACAGTTTTATAAAAGGACACAATGGCTATTCCCTCAGGTATCCAAAAAGATCATATATTGGATAACCACAACTTTTTCAACTATAAAGTATACTCTGAAAGGGTGGTGTATGGTGAAATGCTTTTCTGTGATAGATTTTTGTGATGGCTGATGGAGCAAGTCAAAGTATGTTGGAGCACAAAAGTACAAACTGCATATTGCCACATATGTTGAAAAAACACTGTACTGTAGGACTGCTGGAGTTATTGTAATGTCTTCCTACAGGGTGAAAATGAAAGCCATCAGCTGAGGAACTTCATTTAAATTATGAGCTTTTATAATTGTGCTGCACAGTTTCTTTCAAATATTCAATCTGGCCTTAATCGCTGCTGCTGACTTCTGCTTCCTCACTAAAACAGGTTGCTAATGCTGTCTCACTGGCCACAGTTTAACCACAGTCTCAGTTCTATTGCCAACAGGAGAATCACATACCTGGTTTAAATTAAATAACATTTCAGCGTTCAGTTTCCTAATACACTGGCATTACGGTGTGGTACCAGTAGGTCAGATAACCAGCTGTGGATGAGGTACAGGGGGATTTTGTTGAAGGGATTTAAAGGACATCATTTCTGTTGACATCAGGGTAATTGTTAATATACCATTCTAAAAGGGTGTGCTTTCTCAGTAAAGGAATTGTGGCAGGGAAGCATTCTTCAGTGTAGGACTGTAGATGTTTGGTTCCTGCTGAAAATAACAATTAAGAATCCATACAGACAAATATAATGACAAAGATTCAATGTGTCATGAAACATTTGGTGAGTTACCAGTTAACAGTTATATTGGTATATGTTTACATATATTCAGACATTTGACTATATGCATATATAATGATGTCATGGAATAATCAAATTCAGACACACTATCCGTCTTTGCAAACAGGCCGCATGGCTTTCAAATTCCCAAGCAACAGATTTTCAAATTGTAAGTTGTAACAGACAAATCAGTCAGATATACAGGTTATCTTCCTTAAGCACAGAAGTGCTGGGTGTAGAGGACATTTTCCTGCATTATTCATGCAGGTAATACATGGAAGAAACGAAAAAATCTCATTTTGGGTTTAGGAAACCACCAAGCATTACAGATTGAAAAAGAGTGAACGTTGAGGTTCTACCGCTCTGTAGAGCATATATGTGAAAATAAGAATTAAAAAGATTTTTGGTGTAAGATGTCATCTTGCAGAAAAGCTTGTGTACACGTCCCAAAAATAGGCCTGTGCCTGACAAAAACACATTGCAACTGAAGTGTAAGAGTCAAAAAGCACCACTAGTGGTTTAAACAGACCGACTGACCGACTTCATAGAACCCCACACTGTCACTAGCAGAAATAATAGAGAGAGCTGCAACATGCTGGATTTGAAAGGCTATGGATGCCAGATTTGCTTATAAAATAGAATAGATTTATGTATAAAGTGCATCACATGGAACACAGGTTGTGAGACATTTGACCTAATCTTTGCAGTGCCAAAAACCTTAGCTTGCTAAACTTCCATATTCTGCCACCCTGGTTATAGTAATAAACCTGACTCTGGTTAGTTGGCATCTGACGAAAGTTGGCCTGATTTTGATTTTCATTCATTTATGGCAGGTTGCTCAATTCTCAACTTGGAGCAATATCATCTTTCAAGGTGTTGCATCAGGTTCATGCAATTCTTTTGAGCTAACGTTTGTTCTTAAACATAGAGAAATATTAAAAGCAAAACAAAGCAATGAACTTTCAGTGTATGAACTATTTTGAAATGTATGAGATAAAATGGACCAAGGTAGAATTAGTCATATACTCTGGGAAATACTGTTATTTTAATGCAATGATAACTGTGCAGTAGAGCAGAAAACTGCATCCGTCCCACTCATATTCAATCACTAGTCAAACAACATGTTCTCTACACACAGGCCAGCACACACACACACTGCAAACCCACATGCTCACAGCCACACCCATATAAGGCCTTTCATAATAAATAATAAATGTAGCTCATTGTTTATTCACTTACACTTATGAAAATGATAAGGCATAGAAAGAAAAGCAAAAACAAATAATGCATGGAGGTGAGATAAAATCCTCAAGGGGCTCATGATAACCTTTCACCCCAAAACAAACCTCAGAGATGAAGAAAACACCTCAAAAACAGACAGCAAAGGAAAGAAATAGAGAGCAATGATATAATATAATAGAGAGTCTTGCGGCACCAAGGAAAGCCTCAAGTTGTTAGATTCTATGTCTATATTATAAACTTAGTATGCTGGCAATCTGGGTGTGAGTATTCCACAGTTGTTCTCCTCATGTATTTCATGTAGAACTAGTCTAGAAACTAGGAAGACTAGTTTACTACAGCTTATTACAGTATCTCACTTTCACAATATACTTGAATTTGATATATATCTTTGGCAAGATAAGTTATATAAATAAGTGATTAATATTGGTCTTCTCAATTTCCGTTTTTAATAACTGTTTTGATGAATTTGAATACTCCACCACAAACCTACTGTGGTAAGAAAAAGTATGTGAACCCCTTGGAATCATGTGGTTTTCTGCATTAACTGGTCATAAAATGAATTGAATAGAAGCTGATGTTCATCTAAGTCACAAGTATAGCCACAACACAATGTGCCTAAGCTAATAACACACAAACAATTATAATCCTTTTTTCTTTAATCAACAAAGCCATTAAGTATTCACAGTGCTAATTGAAATATTATGTGAACCATTTGGATGGTTGGATGTAATAATTGATCGAACCTCCTTTGGCAACAATAACCTCAAACAAGCACTTTCTGTATCTGCGTCTTAGACCTGTACAATGTTCAGCAGGAATTTTGGATCATCCTGCCTCCAGAACTGCATCAGCTCAGCCATCTTCTTAGGATCTCTTGTGTGAATGTTTCTCTTCATGTTGTTCCACAAAATCTCTATTGGGTTAAACTGGGTTTTGACTGAGCCACTCCAAAAGGTGGATTTTCATTGGTTGAAGTCATTCTGTAGTAGATTCACTTTGATGTCAAGGGTCATTTTCATGTTCAACTTCTGCTGAGCTTCACCCTACTTCACCTTTGGGATAATGTTTACATGCTGGTATGTAGTGCATTTTTTACACCCTACATAGTGCTGCACACTCTTCCCAAACAATTCAGCATTAGTTTCATCCATCCATAAAACATTTTCCCATTATCATTGTGCAGTGTCTAGGTGCTCTCTGGCAAATGTCAGTGATTTTTTTATTCCTAGCATGGTAGACTTGTGAACACAGATGTTAAGCAGCTCCAATAATTCCTTTAAGCCTTTAGCTGTTACTCTGATGTTCTTTGTTACGTTACTGAGCATCTGCATTTAGCCTTTACGGTGCTCTGGATGCTCACTTCTAGAGAGAGTAGCCACAGAACTATATAATCATTTATAGACAGTATGCCTAATAGTGGATTGATGAACTCTAATCTGTTTGAGATTATTTTGTAACCCTTTCCAGCTTCATGCAAATCAACGATTCTTGATCTTAAGTCATCTGAGATCTCTTTGTTCACATCAGCAGCTGCTTCTTGTGAATAGCAAACTCAAATCTTTGAGTTTTTCTGGAGCAGGGGCCCACTTCAATTCAATAGTAGTCAAAAGAAGCTCTAACCCACACATTCAGTCTGGTTTCATTGACTGGACTCCAGGTTTGATAACTCCTGATTCCACTTAGTTTTCATTGATGTCATTAGCCAAGGGGTTCACATACCTTTTCCAACCTACACTGTGAATGTTTGAGTGATGTTTTCAGTATATAATCATAGTTTGTGTGTTATTAGTTAAAATATATAGATAGTGTTTGTTCATAATTGTAATTTAAGGAGCTCTGACTATATTTTAAGGCAAATTTATACATAAATGCAGATAATTCCAAAGGGTTCACTTACTTTTTCTTGGCACTGTATGTTTTGAATATAAAACATTCACCCACCCGTACACTTGAATATGAGAGCTGAAAAGTTTGTAGCTTGCTCTTTCGTGGACGACTGCAGCTTTGATTCACAAACAGTCCCAAGGGATTCCAGCTGTGACCCAGTTTCACGGTGAAAGAATAAGTATCAAAACGTCCATATAAACTTTCCATCACCTCTTCAGCATAATCACTTCTGCTCTGTCCACACGTACTGTATGCATGGTATGTTGTAATTGCAAAATACACAGCTTAGCCAATTTCTCGTTAGCTGTCTACATCTACACACACTACACTTACTTATATTGGTCTGGGGTTCTAAGGATGGTCAACTGGTTTACATATGTTGTTGTGTGACAAAAGTGGTTTTTGCTGCAGGAGTTTTTTCGAAAAGTTTCCGTGGGTGTTTTGATACTTTTTTGTTTTTTTTTCCCGCAGTGAAACTGGGTCACAATTGGATTCCATTGTTGCTGTTGTGAATCCAGCTGGTGTCCTCAGTAAAAGAGCAAACTTTTCAGAACCACACATCTTTCAAGCCTACAGGGGTGACTGTTTAATATTCAAAACTTTTCAGTGGAGTATTCCTTTAATGTCGAAAAAAAAACCATGTACTGTTTCTGTATGTGCAGTGTGTTATGTAATCTGATTGGTAGGCAACAAATTTTGAACTACATTACTGAGTGTTAACTTTCAATCTGAAGGTGGGAAAGATTAGCAGACTTAAAGAGAATGTCATTAGCCTTTTTAAACGTGAGGTTAATTTAAAAATGAGCCACCAACACCTACTCAATCCCAATGACTGTTTGCCATCTCATTATCATGTTTCATTAAGCACACATCAATCTAAAGGGCAGAGCATAACATTTAAGTTGTTCATCTAACAGAAATATTTGAAACAATCTACCATACAGTATGTTCTTAGGTCATCACTACTTATCCCTTTTTACAGTATGTTTTACAGTCATTTTAAAGCAATTGTTGTTCACTTAGTACTTGTATTTCTTTCAGGATAAGAGCTATGCCACGTTCCAGCAACAAAGAACTAGCGTTGAGTCCAACCCTGCTACTCCCAGAAATCCTGATCCAACTTTGAATGTCCATCCTGAATCTCATAAGATGAGCCAAACTTCGCTAAAAGAGCTTGGTTCAGCCACCACCAATACTCAGTCTCCATCCAGTGGGAGAGCTGAAGTAGCTGGGATGGTCCCTACACGCTGCCTCTCTCCCAGTGCGAGACTGAGCAGACTGGAACACAAGTGTGGCCCGTGTGGATCAGAGGTAATGAAACAGGTTCTGGATGGGAACAGCAGTGTAACACTTTCTAGGAGACTCCTGCAAGAAGTCAAATTGGCTGACTCTCCGCAGCACGAGGTAATGCTTACAATTTTAACAACAAACAGCCCTCATCAAGAGTGCAATTTTTTTCTAAAACAGAGACAAGCATATAAATCACTATTATTTGGAATTTCAACCTCATAATTAACTAAATAGCTGTCCATTGGCGAATAGCCCTCAGTGTCTTCACTGTGAGATGTCCATGTCTGATGCTACATTACATTGCCATTAAAATTGGAAAACCTCTCATTGTGTAAACACTCACAAAGCAAACATTCTCATTATCGCACAGATGTAATAATAACAAGCTTGACCTCCCTTCTTCCATTTTCTACATTTGCAATACCAAGCTGTTTTTTTTTCCAGTTTTATCCATAATGATATTTAATTTAAAAAATATGGCAGCAGCATTAAGGAAAAGAGCAAGAACAGCGTGTTTATGTCACAAGAACTTTGAATTGTTGTTTTAAAGTTTGATGTCCTGTTGAAGAGATGCAATCTTAAAATAAAAAAATATAAACATAAAAAAAAGAATAATAATTTAATCAACTGACCCTAAAATGAAAGGGGTCACCTGTAGTCCTAAAATCAAGGAGAATGAATGTTGCAGCTCTTCAGAGGTTTTTAGACTTTTTCAGCTCATTGTTCTTGTTTTTATCGCATGCAAATTTACATTATAGTTGAGTGTGAACCACTCAACAATATTTTTAAGCAGCTGTTTATACCCAAAAAAGCTTTGTTAAACGCCATGTACACTATTTGCCCCACAGCCAACACCAGACACACAAAGACCACCACAAATAAAAAAGAGTGCATGTTTTTGGGTTTTTCTTCCTCCAAAATGTATTAATGTAACTTGGTTCCATTTGAACATGCTTGTTTATAGTTATTGTCATTGAATCCCAAAGTCTTTAATAGATAGTTTACAGTTAAAATTATACTCATATTTAATTGGGATATGCAGACTGAGTTGTTAAGGTTGTGGCAAATGTGTATCATTAGTATTGAAAGCTCTGATGGTATTCCTGTCTAGCTGTCTATCTACATCTATAGAAATGCGTGATCACTGCTGATTTGGACAGCTAAAGAGGACTGGTGAAAATGTTTGTATTGCCTTCCTGAGAGGGATCAGACCATGGTCTGTTACAAATTGAGGTAGGCCCCTTCTCCAGTTGAAAAGATCTAGGATCAGAGGATAGTCAACTGGAGCGATCACAGGGCCTGAAGGGAGATCTGTCACTTGGCTGTTGCTTTCTGCGTTTACACAACTCACTGCTGAGACATATCCCAGCATCCTTCATCAGTGCAGCTCCTGACTGCTGATTTGTGCCGACTCTAGCAGGCAGCATGCAGTGAAGGCTTTGACTGAAAGGTTGTCAGAGAAAAATGACATGGAGTTTGTTTCCCTCCCTGCAGCCCTGGTTTATTGACTGCCATTGATTTAACACCATGGCAACACCAGACTTCCTTGCACTTTGTCAGACGAATCAAGTTAGCATAGCACTCTCTTAAACCAATAGATCCACTGTTAAAAGACATTTCCTCTTAGGGTCAAAACAGTGGCTTACGTCCAGCACTGCCTTGAGCTCTGTCTGGGACTACTGTCTGTTGTTTTAAGATTTACACTAGTTTGTTGGCTTCGCAAAACATTTAGTCAATTTTGTGGATTTAGTTTATATGTGTGGCTGTGACTAAGTGCAAAGTACTGTCTTTTGGATTTCTTCCAGATAAGTAATCTTTGTTTTATGGGTGATTGTTTTTAAGGAAGAAGAAGATGAGAAACTGGAGCCTGTTGATTCCAGTCATTACGACTCACACCTGCTTGGCAGTCTAAGGATGCATGGGGATGATGATGAGGAGCTCCGAATGCTGGCAAGCCTAAAAAGGGAGCAGGAGGAAGATGAGTGTAGAGCCTCGGGCCTCAGTGCATCTCAGATCCACCAGTGTAATGTCAGCATCAGTATGAGCAGTGACGACGCCTCGACTTGGACCCACATCTCCATGGTCTGTGCTCACATACTCTGCTACATTTGATCTTTTGCTGTTGATGCATCATTAACAAGCAACATACATGCAGCTTAACTACAAATTACAATCATTAGTAGGTTGTTCCTCTTTCTATCTCCGTCTGGAATAATTTCTGTGACCCTCGCTGATCCTCACCTGCTAATTTCCATTTCAAGCCTCCAACTTATGCTACCAGAAAGTGCTAATGCACCTCTTTCTCCAGTGTGTTTTCTGCATTACAAAAGATTATGGAGATAGAAACACTTTAATTGGCCTCTTACAGCTTTTAAAAGTACACTGGCATAATATCCACAGTCTCCCCAGAGACTAAAAATTATTTAGGTCATTTGAAATTATCCCCAGAAGTCTTTTTAGAATTCAAAGATGGTATAGTTTGCTCTTGGCTATTGAAGGTCATTTAGATCTATGGTCCATTAGCATAAGCACATTGCACTTATGAAGAGAGAACACTGCCCTGCTTGGCCCTACTGGGTCCACTGTAGGATCCCCAGTGAATACAGTCATTACAGATTCTTGAGTTATAGGCCTTACCATTTCTGTACATGCAGGTATCTGTTAATATACTGAGATTCAAGTAGAATACAATGAATAGTGGTATTACCACAGGGATTATCATTTCATGGGTCCTTTTTGAGGACAGAGTGATGTGGTCACCAATAAAAATGTGTATCTTTAGACCTTAGAGTAGGTTCAGTTTTCTACAGGGACAGGATGAGACTTACATGTGACTTTATCAAACCCTGAGGTGATGTTTCTTGAATCAGCTGCAGTGCTTTACAATTCTAAATTCATATGGCAACAGCACCACCAACAGCATATTAAGAAAACGCTTGCCAATAAAGACAGGAAGAAAAAGAGAAATAAAGAAAAATATCGACTATAAAACATAGTCATTGTGACATTGTGACAAATAAAACTGCAAAAATGGCCTAATAAATGTCAGTCAAAGATAAAAACAAGCGGCGATTAGGGCACCTGGGAAGAGAACAGTTACTGTTTGCTGCTGGGACTCCTCCACCGAAACTGACAAGCCATTTCTTGTCTGTGGATGTTGTGATTTGAGTGGTCCCTGCTGTTGGCATCCATGCTGCTGCAGTTCGTGTACCAGCCTAGATGTAACTTTACCCCCAGGTAATTGTGTGCCATTCTTCAGTTGCTAGGTTGAACACAATACAATCAACTTGTAGATGTTGTATGATTGTGTGAAACTAGATTTCAGACGGTTTGGTATGTGGTCCTAGATTTGATACATATTCTTCCTGTGAGCTCTCATGTCAGAATGTATGAGTTTTTTCACTCGGACCAAAATGTTACAGCTACAAATGGCAATGAGGGAAACGAAGAATAAGAGAGCAAACACCCATGATATTTACAGTATAGGGTACTTATTTTCTCTTGGCTTGAAAAGTGACGTTTCTTTCTTCACACTGGCTGTGCTCTGCTGACTTTATGTCAGTTCCATGTTCTCCAATGGAGATGTTGGATAGTTAGTTTTGACATGAAGATAAGCTACCAAATCGTTCTAATGATGGGATGAAAAGTTTCAACCATATCACTTTTTATGCCCAAGCGCTGGTGACAGCCATGGCAGGAGGCATTATGTTTTCGGGTTGTTGTACGTCCCATTCTTGTGAAAGTGATATCTCAGTAGCGCCTTGAGGGAATTTCTTCAAATTTGGTACAAATGTCCACTTGGACTCAAAGATGAACTGATTAGATTTTGGTGGTAAAAGGTCAAAGGTCAACGTCACCGTCACTGTGACCTCACAAAACATTTTTTGGGTCATAACTCAAGAATTGCGCTAATTATGACATAATTTCACATGAATGTCTTATAGGATGAAATGATGATTTGATGACATTTTATGTCCATCACCATAATGTTCTGCAATGTTCTCAAGAACAGAAGGGGAGATTATGACCATATTTCCTGCAACTTGACTGAATGGCAGAGGCATACAATTGTGAGGTGGTTATTCTAGTATTAATAAGAGATCAGTATGGAGGACTAAAACCAATCTTAAATTCTTTTAAAGAGTTTACTTAATTCAAGTACCGATTGAATAGATAAATGACAGATTTAGTTTTCCATATAAAGATGATGACATAGTTCCTCTGTTGTTTAAAATTCTACCAGTCAGTGTTTGTGCCAGAAGCTCTCGCAGTAGACAGTAATATCATTCTGTTACAAAAAGAACAAGTTCAGGGGAGAAAACCAAGGATTTGATCTATTTTTTATTCGAAATGTTTTGTATAGAGAAGGATGATAATATGAATCTGGGTTGATACTCACCATTCAGGAGCAAACAGAAGTAAGTTTTTTTCAAGTTAGGTTGACCGTAAGTTCCCAAAGGCAGTGGTAAATGCAAAAAGCAATGGTGTGAGTATTCCCCCTCTCATATATACTCAGACCAATATAGTCAGTGTTCTGAGGAAGAATGATGTAATTGTAGAGTGAAACAGCCTGCTTTACTCCTTTACTTTTCCTGCCACATGTAAATGACTTATATCCAGCAACAGTTATGTCTTTAAAGATTGGCACTGAACCCAGGTTTCTGTGAGGATTAAAAAGTCTAGTGCAGTTTCACTTAATAACACATGTATAAGGTCAATTTTTGGAAGCAAGCTTCTTATATTTTGGTGTGCAAGGCTGAGTCCAAGATGTCTTAAATTCAAGGGAGGATTAATAATATTAGATGTGTTAGGAGAAGAAATAATATTAGGAGGAAGAGTAGTGAAAGGTCGGAGATTCATGAATGTAATACTGCTCAGCCTGTAATTCTGCCAGGGCAGTTGTACAATGGGGCATAAACAATTGGAACTGCCTGCTGAGAAGAAAAAGAAGGAAAGTAGTCACTAGAGTGGAGCTGATCCACCAGCCATTACCTGGTACCTGCCTGATAAATAGGTCAGTAAGATTGATGTTAAAAAGACATCATCTTGCACCACCACTGTTTGGTTTCTTTGCCAAACAGGTGAGTGCCATCCCGAAATGCTACTCAGCACAATTTTGTAACCAGGTTTTTTTTTTCTGGTGAATTTATTTATTATTATTTATTATTTATTTATTATTAATTTATATGTAAAATATATTTCCAGAACAGGACAGGCAAAGGGCCAGAAATAATAGGGTCTGAAGCAGTGTCGATCAGAGGCAAGAAGAGCTCTTTTATGTTCTCTGATTGTTGTAGTGTCATTTTACCCAGCATGGAGGGTTCAGGACCCAGGCTGAGCCATACCTGGTTCGTAACAACCTCTTAGCTAACACCTATCCTGGGTTTTTTTCTGGGAAACTGTAGAGCAGTTAGTGTTTCAGCCAGCACTGCTACCTTCACACTCCTGACCACATTTTGCTGTTGGATAAAGAGGTGATGTCTGTTCAAAATAAGTGATGTACCAGTGTTAACAGCTGATGCACTTTAATTCCTTTAGACCGAAGTTTGCCCTTTGAAAGTGCAGTTCGTGCATGTTTAAATGACCATGTGAGGCACTGGGTTTAATATAACAGATAGAGTAGAGAAATGGTTCAGCAACTATCTCCCCAATAGAATTTTCTCCATCACCCCACAGGTAACTCATCATCATCATCATCAATGCATATTACCTGCAAAATTCCACAGGGTGCAATTTTAGGTCCCGACTTATTTTTAGAAGAGGATTACACAAAGAAGGCACTGCAGCACTCAGATAGCTAAAATTTACTTAAGCAATGCAAGCACTGCAGCTACAACATGACTGCTTCTTTATCAAAGTCACGCAATGTAATAGCCTTTAAACAGGCCCTAGGCTTAAAAAGCCTCCTGAGGCTATAATATGGTTTTTAGCTTTGACAAGATGGAGATGGTAATGCACTTGTGTTTCATACAGCTGAATATAAGTCAAACCATTCCTATCTTCTACCTCTAATAATACCTCAGTTGGAGGTCTCTTATACTAACAGCTCACAAAAAATGTAACTGTTAGTGTTTTAAATGTCCCCAATTGCATATATATAACACTCCAATCTTTTTTGTCCCTGCAGCTTGCTGTTCTTTCCATTTTTTATTTTGTTTCTTTTGTCTCCTATTGTCTGCCAGAAAGGCACTGATCTTTAATACTTAACTGTTTGTCAGTTAGCTCGGCACACAACATAGAAAATTACTTTTTGCCTTAACCTGAGAAGGCTGCACACGGATTTGCATAAAGTGTAGACACTTTAAACTTAATTTGTGGTTTTGCTAAAGATTTGTGAACATTTTCCTTGTCTATCTTGGGCTTGATCGGGCACCATTGTCAATGTGCACCTGTAAATTTCAATAAAACATTGTATGTGATATTGAGCAACTTAGTTGATCTTCTGTACAGCGGTCTCTCCATAAAAGCCATGTTTTTCTTCACCTTGCATTTATACCTGAGTGATGATTGGTAGAAAGACAAAAATTATGTAGTGATAAGATCCAGCTAAACTGCATCAGATCTATTTATGTATCAGCATAGCAATAAATAGAAATAGATTTTCTGTGTGACGTCTTGAGCTTGCAACGTGTATTGTAATGGCAATAAAATACAAGCAGAATGCAGGAATTGCCCTTACGCTGAATTACAAAATTCTCCATGTGCACAACAGTGATAAAATGCCCTTTGATACTTTATCAGTCAAAAATTACACAATTTCTGTTGAGAGACAACCATCATTTATCGAGCAATCAAGCCTAAATAATAGTCTGATAGTGGGCGGTATTGAATGGAATAGGTCATTCTGAACCTGAAAAACATTTTAGTCCTGATGTGTTGTGATTGTACATTTTAATGTTTTTATGTCCAACCAGATCACGCTGTGGTCTTTTAAACTTAACGAAGACAACTAAATAATGCTAATAATTTGTGGAAACATTTTGTAAGTACTTGAATTATTAGTATTTGGTGACATTTTAACACATTCTCTTTTATTTTTCCCCCTCAACACTGTTCTAGCCAGCTAATCAGGGTCACCACTACCAAAATGAAATAAACCCCCTCCTACACTCAAATCCCAGGTAAGCAAGCATGTGTCACAGAGTCACTCTGCAAGGCTCCACTTTTGTAAATTCACAATAAAATCTACACGACAAGTAAGACAAAGCAGCCACACTCCAAGAGCAGAAACAAAACTACATTTAATGTTTATGTTTTGTACATTCTTATGTATCTTGCTAGAAATTGCAATTACAGGCCAAACTGATGTATTTCATGTAATGCCTTGATAATGGATTCATGTAACCTGTATTTGTATTTGGTGGCATGTACATAAAACACACCCTGAGATTCATAATCAGATGGTAACCAGTGACTACAGTATTAAGGCTAAATGTCAACTGTCAGATAGATATGCAGATGGAGGCTTATCTCGCTCACAGATGAGTACAAATAAATTGAGAATGTGCCAGGCACTGTCGTTTTCTTTTCCCTGAACTGCTGTTGTTAGTTTCACAAGTGCTAATTATTTTACACGTATTATTGTGCTTGTCAGATTCATCACTGGCAACTTTTTATTGGCACTTTTTAGCTTGGCACTACATAATCAATGTTAGACATCAAGTACTTCGTTCTGGTCTTTAGAAAATTGTCAAAAAGCAAGGTTTAGTCCTACGACTTAGCACTGACTTGCAGCAGCCATACAGGGAGAAATCCATCATTGATGAGGAGAAGGCCAATTTCTGCACAGTAGGAGCCTCAGTATTCTTAATACAAAACAGCTAAAGGACACGTTCCACCTTGTTTTACCTGCATAAAGGTTAAAACTAGAATAAAAGTTAAGTTCTAAGCTCAAAACTGAAAACACATCGATGAATGGACTTATATAACTGGAGGAGGCAGAAGAATTAACACGAAGTCTATCCAAAATAAATGTCAGTCATATACAATGCTAAGTAGAATACATACAGTATTATGTAGCAGAAAGCCCAGGGAACCACTAAATGAGAGACTGACAAAGTGAAATGATAGAAAGTGGGCAAAGCTTCATCAGAAATATCCTTTGATGTGTGTTGAACAGTACATATTGTTGTTATGTGGCAGTGAAAGACTGAGTGCGGATTTTTTCCTTTTTTTCTTGAAAGGAAGTCAAATGGGCTTCATAGAAGCAAGATGAAATAAAATTACGTACACTGTAACCCTCACTGACATTTAAATCAGACCTGTTTTTTTTTGTAATGTTTCCTGAAGAGAAAATATCTCAGAGTTAAGGCTCATGTCAAATAGCTCTTAGAGGTAGATTTAATATGTAAAAGAAACTCTCTGCTGAAATACCTCCAATACTATCATTAATAATACAATACCACAGATTAACATCGGGAACATGGTGGAGTATGTAGTGCAATCTCATTGACTGGATTCTGAGCAGTGTCTAAAGCTGGCTTACATCAACTGTATATCCATATCAAGACCTGACCATGGCAGTGTACGGATAAATCCAGTTCTCCTCCGGGGGGTTTTGGAGACCCCACACAGCCCCACCACCCGCTAATGCAGAGCCCTGTCTCTGCACATCTCCATCTCTATGTCGGTGTACACAAGCATGCGGCATGTTACAAAAGAAGACAAAGGGATTGCATCATAGTTCCGCTACTCAAATTATGCAACCACCTCTTCTCTAACACTTTTGATTTATTGATGAAAAGCAAGGTAGCCTGGTGTGAACATGTGTAGACTTGCATGTATTTAAATATTTTAAATAAACGTATTAGGTGTTGTTGTTTATAAGTGTTTTATCGTTTAATGTAATACATCGGATCAACAGTCGGGGCAAGCAGGAGCCATTTTTGCTTTTTTTTTGCTTTTTTTTTTACATATTTCAGTGCCAACATGTCTTTGAGCTTTTTAAATATTCAGTGAGGTTATGCTGTTTGATTGAAAGTCCACTCAAATGAATATTGCTATTGACAGACACCTCAAACACGCTCTCCGGCTTGTCTTACACAGCTCTACGGCATCCGCAGCTGTACTTCTGAAATTAGACTTCGAAGCAAGCCTTGATTTACATATTGAAGAGCAGCTGCACAGGATTTGTCGTTGTTTTCTTTCTTTTCTTTTAGGCATTACATTCTGAGACACCCTTACAGTGAATTGTATCGTGGTGCTTTTGGAGCATCCTGGCACCACTGCAAGGCTTCCTCGCCGCTGAGCAGCTAAAATGCTCCAGTTGCTGTGCTTAATGTTGCCAGGGCTTTTCTATCATTTTTAACATGTTTCTTTGCATGTGATACTCGTGTCTGCCTTTGGCTAGCGTAGCAAATATGAAACCATGCATCAGGTTGTCAGAAAGACGTTGAGCAGCAATTGAAATTGTTCAATAATAAAGACTATTGTGAACTTCAGTACAATTATCAGGGTGTCAGACAAACAGAGCTGCCTTGATAGTGTGTCACTGGGAGATATTTGTATAGCTTAATTTCAATATACTTCACCGCCGAGCAGCAACAGTGTACTTGCTCAAATTAAATCAAACTAATTTATTCCCTTTATCACAGGTTCTTCTATATCTGGATTATAATGACTTTAAAATCTAAGAATTTAATCACTCATACCAAGTCCCACTTAACAATTTGAAGTCCAATTTACAGCTCTGCAGCAGAGGCCCTTGTCCTTGAAAATTGCTTCCATTAACTTTTGTACGATGTTCCTGCCTATCACGCAGTCAAAGGGGTGTTAGAGGGGGGTAAATGCCTTTGTTAGAAAGAAAAATCAGAGCCTCGAGAGAGATAATGTGCTAGATCACTGTGGAAGTATACAGTTAGAAATGAGGAAGTCATTTCTAGCTCAAGCAAAAACGAATGGAAAGATCTCACAAAAATGAAGCAGTGCTAATTTTTGCATTGCTTTTTTTAATTCCGAGTCTATTCTAACCATAATGCTTAAACATTTACAGTATTTGTAGGTGTATTTCAGATGTTATTCGGTTGAAAACTGTCGGGCTCACTATTTCATACAGGTGTTGCAATGTTGTTTATTTGATACACTATTAAACAGTTTGTTTACGTGCCATTGCTATCTTTGGTATTTTTAATTCACTGCTGCAGTTAGTTCCAGATACCACATCACTAAATGTAGATATACTTACATTATCATAGTATTTACTGTGAAATTGACAAAGAAGATACAATGGTACCCATTAAAACCACATATTATTTAATTTACAGAGGTGATCAGAGATGATGAATATGAATCTTTTGAATGTGGCCTGCTGAAAGTATTGTCATGGCAAGATTTTGTCAATAGTGCATGTGCTCAGTGAACATTTTGTAAATGTACTTTGTTTTCAGAGAGAGTGATATTATCAGTCATTGCAGCTCTTAATGGCAACACAGACAGAGATGAATATTTGAATTGCCTGCTCTCAACTGAATGTTGTACATTTGACTTCCTCATTAAATATGCCATGATGTGCTCTTATGAGATGTTATGTCCAGAGGCAGAAGATGTAAACGGATAATTGTGCAGCTGATGTATAGTCTAAAATGATTATGCATTCTGTTTAACAAATGAACCTTTCAAGTAATAATTCATCTTGTGGCATTTTTTTCTGTGGCTCTAATGTGTTGCTCGGTACTAAAAAAGCAGTGCCTTCAATTACTGGAAAATGACTGATGTATAGTTGGAGCCTGTGTGCATCTCAGACAGGGAAGATAAACTCATTTAGAGAGAAAGGAAGTCTTGCTCTCACCAACACAGGCAAGGTTAAGACCCCTACTCAGGGCCAGAATGTGGACACTTGGAAGTCTCAGCTTGAGCCTGGATCTAATAAATGATCCTTCAGGTAAAACTGTGAGGCTGAAAGGCTAAGTGCGCAGGAGAAGCAGCTCAAGGACAATGGAAGCTTAGATGGGATTTTGAGAGCGCACGATGATGGGACTTCATTGTTAAAATGTCATATAGAGGCAGTTTGATGTGTAGGGAACAGTAGTAGGATGGCGAATGTAATGGCATGTGTTGTCATGACTGTGTGCATGTATGTTTTTTTCCCTAGGGAGTGGATGGACGTGCTTAGCCCTCCTATTATGCCTCCCAGCCAGCGGAGAAGGTCAGGGAACACATGGAACAACAGGGAATATCAAGTCGAAGGTACAGTAATCTTAATTTTAGTCCTTTTGCCTCCACATACCCTTTTGTGTCCTTTGAAGTCAGGAAGATGGCAAACAATCCAGTGTTTTAACATTAACCACACTAATTGCACAAATGCATACATGTAATGTCAATATTCGGTGGTGTCAGAGCTTACAACACTGTTAAGTTTCCGCCAAAGACTGCACAAAGCGAGAAGGGAAAGCATGTGAAACTGCACCTAATTAAGAGTAAAAAACCCAGGAGAGTGGAGCTCTCTGTCCTCCACATAACTCCATAGGTCAAAAGAGACAGGCTCATTACAGGTCCGTACCCCCTAGACACATCGACAAGGTTAATTGATGAAACCTTTCCAGTTTACAACATCATTTTAAAACCTCTTACACAATGTGTCTTATAATTAGTTTTCATTATCGTCGCCCAAGTTCTGATAAGATAAAATGTTCCTCTTGGAGCATTCCATAACCTTTTTAGCATTTAACTGCCTGTCAGTTTAACAGCTAAATTCTCATGCTTTAAAGTAGTAGGGATTACAGGGAATCTCTTTACAGCTCCATAATGTGGTACTGGGTCTGGGTGTCCTAGGTCTTGATTGATGAGAGAAAAAATGGCAGCGACAGAAAACTTCTAAATCCACCTCCAGTCTGAAGGTCACCTTACTATCCACACTTCTCATTTTATTCCAGAATCAGCTGATAGAGAAGGCTCTTTATCATATCTGGCATGGCAATGTTGCTGTACAATAAAAAATACAATATACAAATTACATTTATGCATTTTTATCTGTACATACTTCATTTATTTGAAATACTGTTGCACTGCTTGCTATATAGTTTTCAACATTTACTTTTAAGTGTTGCAGAGTGACTTTCTGGCATTATTTCAGGAGAGGATGAGCCTGTGAATGAAGAGGGGAACAAGGACGAATATTTGAATCTGCTCTATGATCCTTGCCTGAACTGCTACTTCGATCCAAAGACGGGGAAGTACTATGAACTAGCTTGACTCGAAGCTCAAGAGAATCAGAATTAATAAATTACATGTCATTGACTGTGGATAAATGGCTTCAGGATTTTTTTTTTTTTTAGGCCTAGCTTATTGATCAGTACTGAATATCCTACTCACAAAAACCTTTTCATGCTTTTTTGGGGGGAACTAACAGGAGCTTTGCATCACTATAAGTAGTGTCATGTTAAGGGAGATAGACTCAATAAATCAGATACAAGCTTTTTGCAAGAATTGAAGTTGCTGCCCATTCACCAGCACATCTGATGGTAAATGTCTTTTCAGTCTTAGCTATCAAATTGATATGAAAGCCCTCTGATAGAACATCCTAGAGCTTCTTTTCATTAAAATATGACATTGACATCATTTTTTTTTACAGTATGAGGCCGTTTTGTTCTTTATGATAATTTAATCATAGATGCATGTGTATATACCGTATTGTTTTAATTAAATTTGAATTGAAACAGCAGTGGTTCTGATTTCTTCCTGTGTTTACCTCGGTTTTAATTAATTGCAGCAGGGAGACAGAGCTGTACTCACCTTCGTTTAATAACCCAAAAAGCAAAAGTGAAGAAAAAAGATGACTGCTTTTGAAGGCACTTGAAATGTTTATTCCTCTTCTACAATTCCCTTGTTGTAATAAGTGTATTCACAAATGAACCTGTAGCTATGTTTTTTTTTCTTCTATGGCCTGTAAATGTTGCCAGCAGTAACAACAGACGGGGAGCTCGTGGGGCTGGCAGGTCTTTTCATCAGTCTTGCCAAAACACTGATCACACCTGATGAGCAGCTGATACAAGACTGATTCATCATTACAGCTTGAGATGAGTTGTTGTTTCACAATGAAAGGCAAAAATGAAACAAAAGGGGAAAATAACAACATGCATTTATCACATTGTGATTCCCAGTAGTTTTAATCAAACAATACCTCAACTGGATCCATGACCGACCATTCAGTTGGCCCAGCAAGCCAAAGATATTTTTCATTATTTCAGCAAGCCTGCTTATAAATGTGGTGTTCAACAAATTAGAGCTCCGCAAACATTCGGTCCTATAAGGTGTGTTTTCCAATTACAGCAAAAAGCATGCTTACCAAAACAAGACCTCAAGCATAGAAATCAAGAATTTGGATTTGCATTTTAAGCATTTATCTCATTTTATCTTATGATACATGACTGACTGTACAAATGCAAGGTATGGGCTACTGTAGGACTTTTTCCAAGAGGATGATCCATTGAAATGGGCTTTTCTAAAATAATAAGAACCTATGTTGTCATTTGTGTTTCCACGCTGTAAGACAGATCGATGTACTCCGTAAAACGCACAAGCCTGATTTCTGGTTTGAACATCTCTCACTGGAAGATCATGTGACCCTGACATTAAACACGACGTGACGTGTCCTGAAAGTGGGCGTGGAAATGCTGCCCGTCGCAACGGTCGCAACAGGTGAGACCAGGAAGTAAACAAGTATGGCGTTTGGCCCGGTGCGGTTGATGTCAGATAGAAAACATTTGAATTAATTTAAATGCCCCCACCGACCCAGCAATGTGGGGCTTCATTTTATTTAAGTAGAATGTACTGAGCTCTTTTGCTACATGATGAAAGTGGGCTAACTAGGCTCTGAGGACAACAAGGATGTCATCACAACAGGTAAATATACATGTAAAGCCATATGGCGGTTAGCTCAGTGAATTATAATTAAAGTATGAAAATACAAAGTTTTTCAAAAGTTGCCTGTTTATTACAACAAATTTGAACTTTTTGACATACATGTGGTTAAGCACTGCAGTGGGATGATTAAGACCAATGCACTTTGCAAAACTAAAGACACCACATTTACTTCTGAGAGAGAAAAAAAACACAAAATACACTTGATGTTAAGAGGCTCTATCATCCTCTCATTGCACAATGCTCCTTGTTTTGCAATATAGCTAGAATCCTTCAACTTACCAAACTCCCTTCACTTTGGAGGTCAGAAGTGAATAAGTAAGTGGAACGAAATATCACTTCACAAAGAAGTACTGTCATAATACTGTAGGTGTAGTTGGCTTTGGGTTCACGTGTCTAAGTTCAATTACGATGTCTGCATGGTGCTTCATGGATTTGTAGAAGAAAAAAAAAATTCACATCTTTAACATTAAAAGCTACATTTCAAATGCAGAACCTGCTGTAATGTAGTATCGTAAAAAATAGAGTATGAAAGGCCAAAAAATTATGGAGTGAAAAGAAGAATGAGAAAATGAATGTGGAATTATAAAGAGAATAAGTGAAATATATATAAATTAAGAAAAAATGTAAATATAAAGATAAATTGATAAAAGAATAAATAACTAATAAATGTACACTATATTGGTAAAAATATGTATTGTATTGGAGATCCTATCTGTTAAAGTTTTGTGCATAACCCGTTTTATATGTTTCAAATACTATGCAAGTTGATTAATCAGCGACAAAATAATGTGAATATGTTAGCAGTGTGGTAATAAAACCTGTGTCACTGCAGTCATAGTTCATCACTGTTTCATTGTTTTTCATACATGACACCTCCTCACCTCTGTGTGATTAATTGTGTGATTAATTGCTCCTGTTGGATTGTTACTTTTTGGCCGCACTCCATGTGAATCCTAATTATCGCTACAAAGACTAATGCTCTCACATTCTACTCCTAACATTACCTATGATCTTATGAATAGCCCTAACTTAAAAGATATAGGCTAGTGATCACAATTCTAATGTGAGTGATCAGTGATTGTCAGAAATACTTCTGCTCGGCAAGAGATTTATACCCCTGCTGTTGAGCTTTTCGCTTGTACAACACTCTGATCCATAACACACCGCTGTTCAGCTGTCATATCTGCTGCTCGTATTTCCTCTTTATCTAAGCAACACATCATGAACTGAGCTGTTGGGTTTATGGGCTCTTTAACTACCCCACTGTTAGCGCTTATTGGATTCATTTCTCTTTTTAGGCCGGGTTAAGGCTTCACCCTGGGATTATTGCATCAGTCATCTTCGTCTCAGTGGTGGCGATAGCTGCTCTTGTATTGATCATCCGAAAATACTGCTTCCCAGTCAAGTAAGCAAACTTAATTAATGAGCCTTAATGAGATTCATTCTAAATTCTCAGTGCAGTGAAAACACATCACCCTGGTCTGTCATATAACTTCATTTCAGTGAGGCGACATACAGATACTCACTGCTGAGGCGGATGGAAGATCAGGGTTCAGCGGTGACAGATGAGGATGGCGACAGGGGGCTCTGCACAGTGGGAGAGGAGTCAGACGAGGTCAGTGCTTCGTGGCATTCCTGTTTGTAGCTTTCACTGTCATCTGTCCCACAGTACAAGTTGACACACCTGTAACCTTCCTCATCACATCACACGTCATTTGTAACTTCCCTTTTTCCTTTGACAGGATCTTCTGGAATGAATCTCATATCGACGGGATAAAAGGAGCTCATTGTGGGTGGATTATGTGGTTTAGGGCTGCGACAAAAGGTTATGTTTTTGATTAGTCATTTGGTCCATTCAGCATCACTACACAATTTTCATTTAAGACAAGAAAAAGCAACAAATTCTCACATTTGAGACGCTGAAACCAACAAATGCTTTTTTTTTTTTTTGCTTGAACCATGATCTAAATCATTATTCAAATATCAAAATAGTTAGCGATAAATTTTCCATCGATCGACTAACTGATTAATCTACTAGTTGCAGCTTTAGTGTGGATTATGTTTCTGGATTTACATTGATCGTCTGGTTTAAATTCTTGTTATCTGGAGTGTTATCTCTTTATGCTTAAGGAGAAATATTGATCTCAATCTGTATTATCACTGACTCCTTTAAAGGAACACTTACCAATTGCACATCAAGGTCTTACACAGCCCATGAAAAGAGACTGGCATTCTTGGAAATGCAGGATCCAGCATCTGGATATCTCTGCCTCTGCTGCATTAATCTGCCTTTCAAAAGTCCCCCAGCTTTGTCGAAGTGCGAAACTAAATCACTGGAGAACACACATGTACATGACATACAATGAGTTTAAAGCTACATGAAGCTACATTTTTAATATTACCTACTCAAATGACTTCTGGTTATGTAAAAAGGAGACTACTGATCCCACTGAGAATCGACACTCCACTGTTCCAATTTCAGGCAGATGTTTTAATCTAAATCTGTATTAGTCACAGAAAACTGATGAAATTACAGAATGTAGAGATTAAAAGAAAACAATTGCCAGGTAATAAAGTAGCAGCAACAGGATGAGCACTTGCATGAATATGGCTAAATAAACCACGTACTAACAAATCAAAATGTAACAAAATGTTTTGTTGCGGCATCATTTCACTGTCAGTGTAGTACATGTCATGAATTGGCACTTGTTGCATTAAAAAACGATGTACACCTTCACATTCATTTTATATTGATCACCTAACACACATGAGTATATAACATGATCCAGCAGTTATGAAATACGCGGTGGCTACAAAGCATCACATGGAGATTTGACATTTCAGATATTTCAAACACCCTAACTGACTTGCAGCTAAAAATAGTCACACTAAGACGCAGCTATCTACCAGCTGGCCTGTTCCCTTTGAAATCTATTTCCCTTTTCATGCTCACATTAACCCACTTAAGATAAATTTGCTTTAGAGTTCAGAGTCCACCGACTCTTTCATGGACTCCTATACTGAATGATGTTGCGTGATATGTTTTGACAGCCGCATTAACCACAAAGCAAAAAGTAAGTAAAGCAAAACAAAACAGCAACTCCACCTGCTAGGGTGTCGTCATTATGTGTCACAGGATGCCAGCGACGGCTCAAACTGATTAATCATTCATTGTCAGAAATCATTTCACTATGGTTTCTCTTTTAATTATTGTTTGCATGATTAACAAATTATGAAGTGAAAGCAGTTTGTTGTCATCACTCTCTTCTTGTTATCAGCTTAAAGTTCAAGTATTATTGGAAAATTTAGCAAATATCTAATGAATGTGTTTTCTTTACCATTACTGATGGTGATGTGAATGATACTGATGACTAGTGTGTTTTCGTCTTTTGTGTTGTTGTACATTTGAGAAATATGTGATGATTACCAAATATATTCATCCTGTGCACTGAGTGATGTGTTTGGATTGTCCTTGATTTACTCCCTCTGTCTCTTGCCTATAACAAAAACCTGCGCTAACTAGGAAGAAAATCCATAATTGTTTTAATTATGATAATACTGCTCAATTCTCAATGACAGATGCAAAGTAGAGCAAATGAAGCCATTAGAGACAAGGTTTGTGCTGTCAAAGTGAACAGGCACATTGTTTACAAAAACAGAACACAACATGGATATTTTATTCCTACACTGATATCCAGTCCTCTGAATCTCTGAATGCTTTATGTTCTCTCTGATCGGTAAACGGTGCACAAAGACCCTCTGCTGGTTCTCTTTCGCATTACACCATGTAAGGAATTCGAAGCCGCAAACACCTACTGTCATAATGTAAAGCCCCTCGATATGTAACAGCCTTGTATTTACACAGAACATAATATACACTAATACCAGTTTATTAGGTACACCCAGGTGAAACTAACACCGTGTAATATCATTCAGCTGTACACAGACGTGTGTTTCTGTTGGACAAAATAGTAGAAACACCTTTCAATATAATGGAATGCAGTTCAACAGCACCACAAACTGCAGCCGCCTGAATCAGCACCTCTCTAAAACAGTCTCAACAAAAACCGAATATGATAACCTTCATGATTTATTACAGGGCTGTTGTATTAGACTAAAAACATGTAGCTAGTGATAAAGGTTTGGGGAAACACACTCAGATCATCTCACCGCCAGAAAGGCAGAAATTGCTTCCCTGCTGATGCATATTATCTTTTTCTTTTCTCTTTTTTCTCTTTTTTGAGTCCTCAGATGTCACGCAAGGAAATAATATTTTATATTTATTCTACCTAAGCAACATGTACTTTCAGTGCACAAACCTGCTGTAAACATTAATATACTTTCAAGTCCTCTGTTTACATTTTCTCATGTTCCAATTTTATCTAAATCAAAACTGGATTGTCAACCAGCAAACCCACAGAGCAACTGCCGTCAGGGGCACCAAGGACTTTGATAATGACTAACGATCAATTAATATAAATTGAAATGTGAACTTGAGGAGATAAATGTAATGCCTTGTCTTGCAGTGGTGTCAAAATCAAATACTCATTGTTTGAGTTGGATGCCTTTTCCTGTGTGATGTTGCGCACCTGTTTGTTTCTTGACAGCTGTGGCTCAGCAAGTAAAGCAGGTTGTCTACTTATTGCTTGATGGTTCAGTTGCCAGCTCCTCCCATCTACAGTATATAGTGAATTGTCCTTGCACAAGACACTGAACATTACTGTTTTGAAACTGTTTGTTCAGTGAGAGCCAAACTGTAAAGTGCTTTGCATAAAGGCACTTTATAAATGTGTTTAACTGAATGTCAATTACAAACAGGCGACAAATTAAAAGGAAATCCCAGAATAAATGTGGAGGAAAATAATAGGAATATCCAGATTCTTCTATCAGGGAGCAAAAGGTGATTGAATGCTTTCATAAGTGGGTTACCGCAGCCTTTACAGTCAATATATCTCCTCCTAACAGAACACCTAAGGGGCATTTTAAACAGACGTGTAAAACAGGAAAATGTAGAAATGTCTATTTGAAGAATGTAGTTCGTAGACATTGACAGTCTAATGCAGAGGTTTTCTGGAGGCTTGTGGTGGCCCAACACCTTAGCAACAAATTTTGTGCTGGTTTTTCCTTAAATTTTTCATCCCTCTTTAAGTGTAGTTTATTTGTAAAAAATATGGCCACAGAGAGGCATTAATCCCAAATCAGCTGTTTACCTGTTTCTTATTGGATAAATTATATGATTTTGACCTACTTACAATTTGATTTGGAGTCTGATTATAATAATGATGATAATAATAATAAAGATAATAATATACTACTCACAATATCAGCTCATTACTACCTACAAAATGCTGCTTTGGAGTGGAGCTCTCCAGGCAGGTGAAAGTGTGAGCTCAGCCACTGTTCAAGGATCAGCAGAGCGGATGCTTGCTGACATGAGGCTTGACCTCTGCTCTCAGGGATTACCTGGCCTTCCACACCATTTAAACATCAGTAACCACAAATCCCTGTGCAAACAGTGTTGCCTATCCATCAAAAATATAGATTTAAATGCCTTATGTCCTGACCAAAATAATTTGGTTGATTGGGTTTTTATTTTCTTATCAGATTGTTTGTTTGTGTCTTTTTTTTCACGCTATCCCGTTTCCCGTGTTTTTTTTACTCCGTCGCTAAACACAATGTGTCGTTTGTAAACCTCTTTGTTCACAACCAACAGTATCTGTTACTGGTGTACACCTTCCCATATTTGACATTACAAACTAGAGGAACTAGTTCATAGTGGGTGTGTCTAATGGCATGGCCTTTTTTTTTTTGTATAGTACAAGAAGGAGTGCTGCTACAGGTTTGGCATAGCCAAGCACTTTAAACACAACTCTGTGGTGACTATCAGGGAGTGTCCATAGATGCAATTGCATTTCAAAAGCTCTTCCTCTTCAGGATCAGAAAGGAGAAGTCTGCAGATATGAGATATCAAGGTAAGATTTTACTATATATTTAAAAACAGGTTGTTTTGGGCGTTTGCTTACAAATCTTCATCCATCTGCTCTTTGTTGTCAACAGCTATTTTGTACCTTGTTGTAATTGCTGTCCTCCTAATGACCTGGATAGTTGCCATGAATTTATTTGATGTACAGCAGAAAACAAGCAATATTCTTGGTGAGATTATTTTTATTTTTATTATTAGATCTTAAATCCTGAGCTACCTTTTTTCATTCACGGTCTGCCTCATCTCAATAATACTACCTTCCTTTCTTTCATTTTAGCATTTTCTGGCTTAGATAAAATGAAGCTAGGATTCCAAAACGGTAAGACACATGTTCACTGTTTTTTAGCAAACTCACATGAAGTGTAATGTAATGAAATTTTCTTTCAAGTTAAATTCAGTTATGAACTCATCTTTCCAACATTACACAACTACCACATGCTGTGTGTATGACCAACCTCCTGCAAGATCAGAGATTTTTCTCTCACTCTTATCTGCACTTTCAGATATAAATCAAAATGAACCACAATGCAGCGTCTCCACAGTCTGTCCACCCAACCATTTTTCTATACAACTCCGGAGTGGAACAGCTAATATTATCGGGCCAAAGATCTGTTTTGATGGCAAAACGTACGTGTCATAGTATTAGTACCTGAATTAACCACTAATAAAGGCTCTGAAGGGAAACTAAACCTCCCTGCTATCTCAACAGCATCATGAGCCATGTGATGAATAACGTGGGACGCGGATTGAACATTGCGGTGCTAAATGGTGAGTAAAATACTCTCTGATACCTCCTCAATACACTGAAAAAAAGATCTCATAAAGTACTGGTTAGTGGTAATATTTTTTTAGATTGAAATAGTTTATCTTGAACTTTGAAGTTCTTTCTCAAAGTTTTTGATCATGTTACATGTTCTTAAAAGTAAAGTGTGTATAAGATGCGGGGAAAGTCCCTAAAATGCTCATCTAATCATAGGATCGTGATATGATCAAATGCTCTGGAACAGCTATAACATCTTTGATATTGTGTTTTTTTCCATCTCAGGTGAAACTGGAGCTGTAGAAAAATTTGGCTATCTTAATATGAGAGATGGAAGTAAGGGTTTTTTTTGTTGTTTGTTTGTTTGTTTGTTTTATCTTTTAATCCGGTTTCAAAGTTTATTAAAGCCTTTAAATGATGGTGATTTTTATTGTTATTATTACTCTTAATTACTCTAACAAAAGATTCAAACGAAATCCTGGCATACCTGAAGGAGATTAAAACTGGCAGGATTGTTTTGGTGGCCTCCTATGATGATGTGGCAGAAAAGTAAGTCCAAACCTCAGTGATTCAACTGCTAAAACAGTTTCATATCACACAGTGTGACCCGCTTTATTCCTTTTTCGTGGCAGGTTGACAGACAAAATGAGGGAGATATTTGTTGAAATGGGAAGCTCTTTCATCACCTCTGTAAGAACACGAGACAGCTGGGTGTTTGCAGGAAGAGCAGGGACAGAACAGAAAAGCCTCTTTGAGAAGGTTAGTGATCCTGTTCACTGCAGTTTTTGTTCTTTTGTTCTATTTGTGTTAGAAAAGACCATCTATTTTAGAATATGCCAAAAGTGAAAACACTTGATAATTGATGGAAAACAAAATGGCGTCTTCCCTTTTCACCCAACAGCAAGCTGTTAATGATGCGAAAACCAACGTTTATGAAGGATGGCCGGATATGGTGGAGGTGAGCGGCTGTTTCCCAAGAACCGAAACTGTTGTGAAGAACTAAAGATTATAACTTGGACTAAGTTTTTGTTTTACAGCAATGGCCTTTTAAGCCTTACCTCCTTGTCAAAATGATGTAAAAAACCTCTCAAACTTAAAACTTACCTTATTGGACTTGAGATTAACTCAATATTAGTATATCATTGTATTTCATTTACCTATTGTCATTCTGTTTCTCCACATTGTAAATTTTGTCTGCTGTGGGAAAATGTTAAATTGTTGTCAAAGTTGTAAATTGTAAAACCAGCAAGTTAGTTATTGATTTGTGTGTGTGTGTGTGTGTGTGTGTGTGTGTGTGATATTTTGGGCTAAATAAATACAATTGAATTGACTTGACTTGTGCTGTAAATAGTAATAGAAAATGCAAAAATGAATCTTCAAATAATAGAAATAGAGCCAAACATTTGAAACAGTGACAGATGCTACTGAATACTGTGCAAGTATATCTTACAGGTGGACCAATGTACTCGGGGATAAATGAAAAATATTTGTTGTGATTTCTGGTATGTGGAGGATCTGTCACTGAGGACCAGGTGCATCTCTGCTCTCTTTTATCTTACATTTCACTTTTTTTTTCTTTATTCCTTTTTGTATTTGTTGCACTACTTTTCCATTTCAACCTGTTCACCAGTGGTGGAAGAAGTACTCAGAACCCAGAATTCAACTAAGGTAACTAAGGTAAAAGTAAACATTAGATGATCTTATAAATGTCCCTGGTGACTCTTAACTTAACATAATATACTCTATATTATTAGATTTTGCACTGATGCAGCATTGTGTGAGCAGCGTGTTTCTGTTTCTAGTTTGTTTTTTTGCTGAAATATTTTGACCTCTCTGGGTCTTCAACCATGTGAGAGGCTGAGAAGGGAACTGTCTCTTTGGTTGAACTGCAAGTTAATGATATCTGAAATGTGGCCAGGGACACCAACTAGTCGCAGTTTTTTTTACAAGGGGTCACAAGCCAATGGAAGGAAAGTATTTTATATTCTTATCACATTTTTTTTTTCTTAAAAAAAATCTTAATCTTAAAATTAACTCGTAACTGAGGCTGTTGAATAAATGTTATGGAGTAAAAACAATAAAACAATATTTCCCTCTGAAATGTAGAGAAGTAGAAGTATGAAGTAAAATAACAATAGATTAAGTACTTTAATATTCTACTTAAGTACACTTGAGTAAATGTACTAAGTTACTCTCCACCACTGCTGTGCACTGAATATTCTGCCAGCGCTTTTGGCCTGTTCTCCAGGGTTTGTCTTCCACTTGGTTGCTGCTTCCCTGGGAGCATCATCATTGGTCCAAGCACAGATTCCTCTCTATGGTGTACTTCACTGCTGGAGAGCACAGAGAGAGAGAGAGAGAGAGAGAGAGTAACCCCAAATGACTCTTTGAGTAACTGTTGAAACTGTCCACTCTGAGGCCAGGAGGTGTTTGTGCAGAAATCTGACTCACACTGAGGACATGGGAGTCACCTATGGAAAGAAGGTAAGAGATAAGACTTTCTGCTTCAATTTCTTCTGTGAGACATAACACGTCTGTGTTTATCATTTCTCATGTCTCATTACAAGAAGAACCACCAGACGCATCTAAGTGGAAAATAGCTTACACACCACTTTCTTGATGTATCGTGTGCTTGAGAAAGTTAAGAGAATAGTAACCATGAAAAAGCATACATTGTTGAATCGTCTGTCATCATAAACAGCATATTATTTGTATATACTTAATCATACTGAAGCATTTTTACAGTATTCCTGTCACTGGTTTATATCTTCCTAAAGACAGTGAATTCTTGAACCAAACGCAGCTCTTTATCCATCTAAAAAAAAAAGAAAAACGAAAAAAGGCCTTGCCAACAGTGAAGAGTGGGCCTTGGAGACTGTTTATCCCGTCATGTCCTATTAATTCTTCTCTGCACAATATCCACAGTGCGAGATTTAGCCAAACAGCAGGACTCTCCCCTCATCAGCCAAACAGCAGCTGGCAGCAGAGTTGTCATTTAAAATGCCTCATGCAGTTTGCATTTTTCCTCAGTATAACCATTCACTGTTATCTTGTTTTTCTTTACCATATGAGATGCCAGTTCTGAACATATTTAGCAACGTTTCAGTGTTTTCTTTTGTTTTTTTGACATGTTGAAATGGAGCTTATGCTGAGGCTACAACAAACATTTAACTTAAGGAATAGATAAATGCTGTGAGCAAACAGTCTATTGTACCCATGTTGTATTTTCCTGCATATTCATGAAGTATTTAATCAGTGGAATAACTCTTGTCTCGACAACTATTAATTCTGTTCAAACTCCAGCAAATGAGGAACTCAGTGGGAATCAAAGTGTGTTTTGTTTGATCCTGTCATTAATGAGGTGGCAGCCCTCCATCTCACCAGTGAAGGCCCTCGCTTCACTGGACATGTGGAACAGGAGCTGACACTTCATTTGTCCGTCAGCGTCATAATACAGCTTTGTACTGCTCGCACTGCATGAAACTGCATTGTTGACCCGACAGGGAGATTTCTATTTATTTGAAGAGCTACCCTCTGCCAATTTATTTATTTATTTATGTATTTAAAACTAGCATTTTGAAAAAGCACCATGTCTTGGGGATATGCTGGTTGTGACTCTGAGCTATTTTATGTTCTTTTTGACTTGTGATTGACAGAGAGACCTGCAAAGTTTTCCAGGTAGAAGTGAGACATACCTGAACGGGTCGGGTGAGAAATCTAAAAATATTCCATGTGGTATTGTTGATTTCTGTGTCATTTTGTAAGTAGGCCTGCCTGTCTTTTTACCTTCCTTTACTAGTGTCAGTTGAACGCTATATGTTATTATTATAACATATATTGTTATAACATTATATAGAGTATTGCAATAGATTTGATAGGGCGACTGCCTTCTGCTGTTTAAACCTCCTATGAATCTTTTGCTGTGAGGCAGCACAGTACTGACCACTGAGCCACTGTGGCATCCATTAAGTTTATCATTATTATCACTGTCATAAAGACGCAGCTTAAGGTGTTTGCCTCTTTTGGTCTGTTTGTGTGACTCAAGGAACAAACTGAAAGGAAGCAGAAGAGATGTCAGTGAATCTGAGTTATGAAGCATGGGGGAGAATTTCCTGCACAGACATTTTCATTTAATGTATCGGTCATAAAAGAATTAACAAGGGCGAGCCAGAATGTGTTAATGAACTATGAAGTGTAAATAAACCATTTGCCTGGTGACATTTTAGCCTTCAATTCTGTGAAATGTGCTCTTTAAAAGCCTCAATGCAGGCTCAGGTTTTGTGCCTCTAATCCAAAGTTTGAATAGAAATACTTGAATGAGCCTCTACAGATGAAAATGCTACAAGGCTGCAATGTGTCTGCGTGTACTTTCAGTGGTCCTTACAGTAATATCAGTCACAGTCACCTGTTAATAAGTAGGAGGACAGCTGGTCTTAGTCCTGTTTCCAGAGAGAGTTAACGTTCTCATACATTAAAACCGAATACACCTCATCAATGTGATTCCGTGAACTAGTGCTCCAAAATAAAATAAAGAAATCCACAATTTAATTTGATCTCTTCTGCTCTGAATCAGATTTACTTTTTATTGTTTTGTTTTTTTTTCCCACTATCAAGCACTTTGTCACTTTGTTTTTGAAAAGTGCTATATAAATAGAGTTATTATTAATGCAGGGAGTTAACTCTTAATTGTCAATGCATATGTAGAACAGTCTACTGTAATGTTCAGTTTTTTATTTGTAAGTATGATGAATAAGACAAGAGGTTACATGCAAAAATCAGCTTGGTAAATATATATAGCATGTTGGTATGTTTTTCCCCTTCAGCCTCAGTGATGCAGGCGCATCAAAATGAACAGGAAGATCGATGCCCAAAGCTTCAGGCCTTCATTCCACCTCAGCTACAGAGTGAGGAGGAGAGTGTTCACCTCATCAGACCCAGAAAACCTCTCAGTCCCTTAACTGCCTCCAAGAGCCACCAGGAGCTCCACAAAGAGCTGCGGATGACTCACAATAGGTTGGACAGACTCACCCATCGTTCATTGTTTCCTAGTTGTAATAATTTGTTAACTCCCCGTGTGTGTTTCTGTCAGGAGGGTGTGTCAAGAAGGAAAAAGTGAACTCCAGCAAGTTCTAGAAAAGAGAAAATGGGACCAAAAGAAGAAGGCGAGCAGAGATCAGGAGGAGGCAAAGAGGAACAGATCACCATTTCATCAAGAGCTGTTGAGAAGACATCATAGGCTAGAAAAAGTATGTAAACATATCATATCAAGTATCCATCTAAGAAGCCATCATGATAGTTGGCATTAAATGAAATGTCTATTCATGGAACATTTGTTATGTTATCTTAAAAAATTGTTGAGGGTGTACATAGAGATTGAAATAAGTCCTGTGCACATAATTATCAAGTGGCTGGCCAGCAGAGGGCAGTGTAGACGCTGTTTCTGACAGTGAAAGTCTAGTATATATACACACACTATATTGCCAAAAGTATTGGCTCACCTGCCTTGACTCACATATGAACTTAAGTGACATCCCATTCTTAATCCATAGGGTTTAATATGACGTCGGCCCACCCTTTGCCGCTATAACAGCTTCAACTCTTCTGGGAAGGCTTTCCAAAAGGTTTAGGAGGGTGTTTATGGGAATTTTTGACCATTCTTCCGGAAGCGCATTTGTGAAGTCACACACTGATGTTGGACGAGAAGGCCTGGTTCTCAGTCTCCGCTCTAATTCATCCCAAAGGTGTTCTATCGGGTTTAGGTCAGGACTCTGAGCAGGCTAGTCAAGATCACACCAAACTCTCTCATCCATGTCTTTATGGACCTTGCTTTGTGCTCTGGTTCACAGTCATGTTGGAACAGGAAGGGGCCATCCCCAAAACTGTTCCCACAAAGTTGGGAGCATGGAATTGGCCAAAATCTCTTGGTATGTTGAAGCATTCAGAGTTCCTTTCACTGGAACTAAGGGGCCAAGCCCAGCTCCTGAAAAACAACCCCACACCATAATCCCCCCTCCACCAAACTTTACACAATGCAGTCAGACAAGTATCGTTCTCCTGGCAACCGCCAAACCCAGACTCGGCCATCAGATCGCCAGATGGTGAAGCGCGATTCGTCACTCCAGAGAACGCGTCTCCACTGCTCTAGAGTCCAGTGGCGGCGTGCTTTACACCACTGCACCCGACGCTTTGCATTGCACTTTGTGATGTATGGCTTCGATGAAGCTGCTCGGCCATGGAAACCCGTTCCATTAAGCGCTCTAACGCATTGTTCTTGAGCTGATCTGAAGGCCACATAAAGTTTGGAGGTCTGTAGCGACTGACTGTGCAGAAAGTTGGCGACCTGTGCGCACTATGCGCCTCAGCATCCGCCGACCCTGCTCCGTCATTTTACGTGGCCTACCACTTCGTGGCTGAGTTGCTGTCGTTCCCAATCGCTTCCACTTTGTTATAATACCACTGACAGTTGACTTTGGAATATTTAGGAGCGAGGAAATTTCACGACTGGACTTGCACAGGTGGCATCCTATCACAGTACCACGCTGGAATTCACTGAGCTCCTGAGAGCGACCCATTCTTTCACAAATGTTTGTAGAAACAGCCTGCATGCCTTGGTGCTTGATTTGATACACCTGTGGCCATGGAAGTGATTGGAACACCTGATTTCAATTATTTGGATGGGTGAGTGAATACTTTTGGCAATATAGTGTATATGTATATTATCAGTGCCTTCTCTGGGTTAATACAACTTCTAGTAATATGAATTTTGCATAAAGATAATCAATATTTCTGCTCTTTCTCAGACCATTTACAGGTTTTAAGAACTATGGATTATGTGGATGTTTTAGGCATTTCAACCTTAGGCAGTGGCAGGAGGGGTTCATATATTAATATAACATAATATTCTTGTTGCAGCTTGTCGGGGTTGAGCTAATTTTTCTACATTATCATTATATATATTTTAAACAATGCATCATATTCGATACTCTCATCATATGTTTTGTATACAGAATATTGATTCATAAAATATCCAGCAACAATACCAAATTTAGTGGGGTATAAAGTATAAAAAATATTGTGCCTTTAAACTTAAATCACAAAGTGGCCTGCAATAGAAATACTCAAGTGAAGTACAAGTATCTCAAATGTGCAACTACAGCACATGTACTTGATCATATTACACCACTGTTTTTATTGGCTTTAGAGTGTTCTGTAAAAACACTGCTCGTTGACTGTTTAAGAGCTCCAAGTCTTAGTCTTTTTTATTTTTTCATTTCTCCACAGCTGGAGAGCGAGGAGACAGGGCAGCAGCGAGAGGAGCTAGAGTTCCTGCGAGTGAAAGAGAGACTGAGGAGGACAGCAACGTTGGATGCAGGAGAAAAAGAAGTGTGATGGTTATGATTCATGACGGCATGTTTTCTGTTGACAGTCAACACAATGGACTAGTGGGAGTAAGTGACAGTGTGGAGAAAGACATGAATGAACTTCACTGTTGGAGCTTAAGTGTTTATTTTTTTTTTTTAAAACCTGTAGAATAAATAGATTATACAGCACAGTGTTTATGATCAAGGCAACATCAACAGGTCAAAGACAGAACCAGATATTCTGTTGTAACACTGTGCTTTAATAAGTCAGAAATCAAAGTGTGCATAGATGAAAAAGAAATTAGTGATTCCACCTGAAAACAGGATGTGTCACCATAATGTGTGAGTGTTTGCCTTATTATTTTTTAACTTCTTTTTGGGTGTGTTCAGTTTTCCCTCGCACATGTCACTTTTTTTTCACAGTCAGTCAGAAGTCATCAATACACAAGTATCATCAGTACACTAGTCAAACAATCAGGTCAGCTATATTTGTCTGAACGTATCATGACCCAATCTGTCTGGGAAGGTGTCTGATGTCACCACTGAGTATTACTGAGAACTGCTGATTGAGAGACATTAAATGAGCATTTAATAGAATTATTCTTAACATTAATTTGATACGTTTTAGTATAAATACATCTATTTCTATACTAATCTAAGACAGTTTTTAACTGAGGAAAAGACTCTTCTTATGTCATGATGATGTCATCAGCATACAAGTGTATTCTGTGTATCAGAAAAGTTAAGCCGATGTTTATTTTTAAAAAGTCTGCACATAGAATAATCTACCTATAGGGGCCTATGGGGCTGCAGCCCTGGATGTTTTTTCCCGAAAGCCCCAAATCTTATATGAAGTTTATAATATAACTTCAACATTTCCTCTCAGTCTCTCTGACTGGACTGACAAATCAGTGGAGCTCTATTAGTACTGCACTGGGAAAATAGCAATTTATAGGATGCTTGACAACTTGCAGAGCATTGGGGATTGCAGCAAAACACTTAAAGTCTGCCGTACGGAGCCAGAACAGTTCCCTGTGGAGCCCCAGTGCTGCTGATCACTGTCCCTAGGACACAGTTAACCAGCCTGACGCACTGTGGTCGTCTTGTCCACAATCCAGGACATGAAGCAGGGATCCAACCCCACCCCTTCCAGCTTGTCTTTTAGAATTGGGGGTTGGATGGTGTTCAACCCACTTGAAAAATCAAAGAATATAATCCTCATCCACCTGGCTCATCCAAGTGAGAATGGGCCCGGTGGAGCATGTGAAGGACCGCATCACTCACTCCAACATGTTCCTTGTAGGCGAACTGTAGGGGGTCTAGTGCGTGTTCAACCTGTGGCTTCAGAAGGTGGAGAAGCAGCCGCTCCAGAGTCTTCATGACGTGTGATATGAGGGCAACTGGTCTGTAGTCATTTATCTCAGCTGGTCGCCCTACTTTAGGTACCTGAGGAAGACATGATGTTTTCCACAGGACCGGGACCCTCCCTGTTTGAAGGCTGAAGTTGAAGATCCTCTGGAGGGGCTCAGCCAGCTGGACTGCACAGTCCTTTAACAGCCTCAGACACTCACCATCCGGGCTTGTTCCTTTTCCAGGACGTAGCCTCTTGAGCTCCGCCCTCACCCCCTCCGCTGTAAAGGACAGGAGACTTGACCCCAGTGTGGAGGGAGTTGCAGCTGTAGTGTCAGGTTGTGGAGCAGATGCCTTAAGGAGAAGCTGCAGCTAAACCAGTGGGAGACAGAAAAGGTGAGGCTTTGTTAAACCTGTTGTAGCACAGGTTGAACTCATTGGCCTTGTCCACATCACCTGATGTTGCCTGGCTGTTCCTCTCTTTATAGTCAGATTCCACACCTCTCTGGTGTTGTTGTGCTGCAGCTTCCTCTCTACATTCTTTTTGTAGTCCTCCTTTGCCTGCTTTAATCTCCTCTTAAGCTCATGTTGCACACACCTGAGCTTCTCCCTGTCTCCACCCTCCGTCCTTTTTCTGGTTGAGGAGGGATGTTGATGTCTGATTGATGTTACTGGTGATCCAGGGTTTGTTGTTTGGAAAGCAGTGTCCAGTGTACCTTGCTGGTATTACAGTGTCCATACAGAAGTTAATGTAGTCCGTGGTACATTCAACCCTTCTATCAAGGTCAGAGTCCTTGCTGTTATCATTTTCCTGTGACTCCAACAGGACATTCCAATCTGTGCACTCAAAACAGTCCTTTAGAGACTCACTGGTCTCTGGGCGTCCAGTTCCTGAATGAGCGAGTGGTTGCAGCCTGCCTCAGTACACAGGGCTTGTAGGAAGGCTGAAGAAAAACCAGATTATGATCTGATCTTCCAAGTGGTGGTAGAGCTGAAGCAGTGTGGGCCTCCTTGACATTTGCATACAACTGATCAAGTGTCTTATTTTCCCATGCGGGGCAGTCAACATACTGAGTGAAGCCAGTCAGGTGAGAGGTGGGATTAACGTGGTTAAAATTCCCCGATGTTGCAATGAATGTTTTCCGAAAGTGGCCTAGTGATACAAGTGGATTTTCATTTAGACTGGTGGAAAGTTTGTCTCAAAACTCTGTGTGTGTAAAATGCAAATCCACAAGTGTAGAATTGAGATCCGCAAATGCTTTTTCGCTTCACAAATAGGAAATTGATTGACAAATGTCTGTTTGAAAGTTTTAATGTCTCGAAGATATTCACAAGTGCTTTTCATTTATTAGTAAATTAATTGAATGTATTCACAGATATGTTTTTTTTCTTTTTTTGGAGTTTGTTAGTGTATTTGCAGATCTGTTTTATATTTGCAAGATATTTTTGAGTTTACAAATGTATTTTTTGTATTTGTGGAAGGTGTTTTAGCCTACATTCACAGATTAAACATTTACTCACTGGTTGTCAGTCTGTTCACACAAATATCACAAATCTACCTTCATAGACAGGAGATGAAAATGTGTTGATGTGTTGAAGGAGAGCAGAGGTGGAGCAGATGTAAGAGAATAAGATATGCATTAAATATTTTTACATCTTCAGTTTATGATCAGAAATATTAAAACTCCTTTCGTTTTATATTTTCTTTGTGTGGAGAACATTTCCAGGGATAGATGACTGGAGCTGAGAGAGTGAAAGAAGAAGAAAAGAGGAGGAAATGAGAACAGAGTGACAAGAGTAGATCAAATAAAATACTGTACGATATCATTACAGTAGATGTCCATGTTGTGTATCCTATGATGCTATTCCTTAAAGAAATTCTATATCATTAGAGTAAATGTTCTTCTGTTCTTCTGGCTTAATATTCAGTTTAGAGTCGTGAAGACATTTGCCTGGCCTTGTTGTGGATCTGTGTCTGCTCAGTAAGAGCAGCACATATTATTATGGTCTGGATTTAAATGTAGATTTGTCATCTAAACATTAAATCTTGGGGCGTCAAGTGGCGCAGTGGGTTGAGCAGGCGCCCCATGTGTAGAAGCTACAGACCTCACTGCAGTCGGCCCCAGTTCAAATCCTGCATCAGACGGCCCTTTACTGCATGTCATTCACCCTCTTTCTGCCTCCCCATTTCCTGTCTCTCTCTTCTGTACTATCTAATAAAGGCATAAAAAGCCCCAAAAAAAATATACTTTAAACATTAAATCTTTGAAAACAAAAATAGATGTCAAGATTGTTAATGCTGTTTATTCCAAATTCATCCCACACTTATGTTCAAAATTGTAACATCAGACAATTTAAGCCTAACCCCAAATGTTTACAATGTCTGTTGCAATCCATCACAGTGATCCACTGTGGTCGTTTTCAACACTAATTTACAGCAGTGCTGTTTGGGTTACATTATATCACGTGTTCATTGTGTCCATTATATCTTTAGACTCATAGGTTTTGCATATTCCTCACTCGGTATGACAATGGAAGAAGGAGTTAAATAACTGAAGGAGTAAAGATGTAAAATAAGTTATAGGTAAATATTTTGTATGCATTGCATTTTATAGGTCATGTGTTTGAATCGATTCTGTACAAACCGCAGTGTTTCCTGTGTAATTGACATGAAGTAATTGTGGAACGACGGAACACACAATGCATAGACAAGGAAGTTTTATTTCATTTCCTGCAATCATATCTCTGTGGGTACAAATCATTGTATTTTCTAACATCTTATTCAATAACCCATGATGCATTGCATCCATACATTTGTAGCTCAAAACAGCTTTTACAAAAAAGGATATACAATATATACTTATATTTATATATATAATATACACGTGTTTCTTTATGCATTTAGATGTGTTTGTAATGGGTAAAATAAGCTTTTTTTTTCTTTAAAAAAAAACAAAACAAATTAAAAGAAAACCCCAAAATACAGCCAAGTGGAAACAAATCCCAGGTAAGGTTCAACAGAAGGTCATTACCAAACAAATAATAGCCAGTTTATCAAAGTCATCAACATTGGCTAGCTAACAGTTAACATGAAGCCCTTCACACACAGTTTGCATATTTTCCACAATTACAGTCATGTAAATCCAGAGTGATTGCCCTCTGTTACTGTACTATGGACCTGTATGTATCAATGACAGATCGAGGGAGTTGGTTTAATGTGGGCAACAAAATTCTATCAAATTCAACAAAATGTTACGGACTGGTTCTCTACAGCTAACTAATAATACAGTATTATGTCATGACATACCTTAAATTAATAATGGTATGGTATGATATCAGAATTAAAGTACTTTTAGCTATTAGTTGTTTCATCTGTCCTTTCTGTGTTAAATCTCTTGCAGAATCCTTCATCTGAGTCACATTTTTAAAAGAAGATGACATATCTGAGTCTACAGTAAAACATTCCCACTTGTATGGCTTTAGTACTGCAGTCCTTTTACTCAGGAGGACAAATGAAGAGCTTGCACACTGGCAGACAGGAGATGTTTCCAGCACAATGATTTTGTTTCTCTCATGTTTTGTACTGTGACTGGCACCTGTTTAAAATTGGGATATGTGTTTTTTTTTTTCTTGGTATCAGACAGGAATAAATAGTTTCAGAAATTCTACATGAGCAATGGAAAAAAAGAAAAGACAGAAAGAATATTCTGAGATGGAAATAATCATAGTACAGGAGAAATGTCACTCAGGTAGAGACTTGACCATCAGAGTCAATGCAAATGATAAGTCCACTGTGCTGTGTTGTACTTTGTCAAGGACATTACTTCTGGTGTTACTCACTTCACATTATATAGCTCAAAATTACAGTATTACATCATTTTTCAATACAACAGAGTAATAATAATCATGTGTGTTTATACTAATTGATCATCATTCATGTAAACATATTTAACCAGGTCATGCAAACAGTAGACCAAAACTTCTTCCACTAGAGGTGCACAGCACAGAGCAGGCGGAGCGCCCAGACTGAGATCCCTCTGACTCAGGGTTAGACGGGCCTGAGCCAGACCGAGAGACTGACAGCCGGCGGATTGTCAGAAACAGAACACGGAGGGTGAGCGTGACATGAATATGATCATTTTCTTCCCATGCATTGTGGATGCTCAGCATAATTGCATCTTCAAAGTAACTCTCCTCGTCCAGGGAGGAAGGTCAGATTCTTGTGTTTGACAAACTTACAGGGATCTCAGTTTGAGCCTCTGGTAACAGAACAGCCATAAAACAAAACAAAACAAAAAAAAGTCTCCTTTTGATATTCATACATTTCTATGTTTTCCCCGACAGAAGCATGCAGACACTCCAGGTCAGAACCACTCTTCACAAACCCAGTCTGAGCCAGAATATAGAGTCCATAACCCCCAGAGGTACCCTCCACTTTCACGTATCTCCTTTCCAAAAAGGCTTTAAACAAAAGGAGTAAATACAGAAACACTTAATAATGACACTTAATGTGAGAAAAAAGACAAGAGTGATCAAACAGAACAAATGGGCAGGTGGAATCGGTAGACGCCTTGCGATTAACTCTATTCAACTAAACAGCTACTTGGTCAGTGACTGAGTCACATTGATGGGTAAAGAGTATAAAGACATGCAGGAGTAGCTTTCAGCACTGTTTCCCCTTTAAAAAGTGTTCCCCTCTTCTTTGTGCCCTGTCTGGCCAGATTTTTGGAGAAAGCTGCCAGTAATGTAGAGTGTGTGGGCCGGATGGATGTAGACACACAAGTAACTGTGATTAGAGGTAGATGTGACAGATAATGTGAGAACAAAAATAATGAAGGAGACTGCCTTTAGGCCACTGTCTCGTCTTTGATTAAGACTCCAGAGGCTTTGATCATTCCTGAAGGTAACATCCAGGAGAAATTGTTGTGATGTACGCGCTGCCAAGTGGCCACTGTCTGCAACAGCTGCACAAAGGACGACTACATGTTAGGGCTGCTAAGGGGGTTTATTTCAGGATAATCATGCAGATAGGCCCTTTTTCTTTTTTTAAATCATAGTCGCTGTCCATTTGGAGTCGCCTTGCATATTGTTCTGCAACGATGCTAAAACTTGTGTATATTTGAGTCAGGATGTGGCTTTGGACAAACACTTGGACAGTATGTTTCTCCACACCGTAACAGTGAGCTGCTCGCTGTGGATGTACTCTGGTGGACACTGCCTGATAACTACTCTGCATTCCTGGCCAGACTGGGCGGGTGGGCTCTGGGTGCTCCAGGGACAACACAATGTCACCATGACAACGGGAGGTTGTGCTCAGACACGACTGGCTGGCCTGCAGCAGTAGGTGCAGCTCCTCAGGCTGTCCCGATCTGTGCTGCCCTCATTGCTTCCGCGGCGGCCGTCCTCATAGTGGGACACTGGATGTTAGAGCAAAACAGGGAGCATATGAATTTAAAGGGAAATTCTGGTACTTCTCAACCAAGGACTTATTCTCATACATTTGGCTATTCCGCCTGTGGGTCATAATACCTTTGCAATCACATCTGAGTACAGCCGCCCACAGGAAATTGGGCATATTGCGAGAGCCTCCTAAAGCTTTCCAAATAAATGTCAATTTTTCAGAAGTCATCTCAAATGCTCGTCTTTGAGACCATAAGTAAACAGCCACATGGATTAGATAATGTTTCTAACTGCATGGGGATCTACTTCTGGAACATCCAGTCACCAAACAACTCACTATTCCTATCATGTTGTTGTTCTTCTTAGGATATTAAAGAAAAATTAGTGCAATGGTTGATTATATAGCAAGCTATGATGAGGAGGATGTCATTTTACATAAGGCATTTTACAAGGTTGTCCATTTTATCTATTTGTCTCTATCTATTTGAGTGGTGAGGAAAATCTATTGGTGTCCAAAAACAGAGTGATAATGGCTGTATAGCTATGACAAATGTGTGGCTCTGATAACATTGCCACGGTAACAATTTTGTTTCTTGTCCCCAAAGTCAACTGGAAGGATCTGGCTGGATCAAACAGCCTCCATATATGGTAAGAGAGGCGATTACAGCTACAAATCCATTTCTGTGATATCTGTTTACGTCTGTTCAAATAAAATCTATACATGTGACGATAAGTAATACATGTTAGCAAAAATAGCTAATCCTGGATGCTCATTTATGTGTTTACGTTTGGTCAGACTCAGAGCCAAGCGTGAAAAAGGTGAAATTTTTTATGTAAAATATCTGTTTATTTGAAAAGAGGTTTTTGCCCTGATATTCAGTGTTTTGCTGGAGGCCTCCTGAATCTCTATCACAGAAGTGGCGGGTATAAAGTTAGCAGGACCAAATGTTACAATTATGAGAATAAGACCCTGGTTTAAAAATACCTGATTGTTTTGGTTCAGGAGCAGGGACCTCTGCTCAACTTATACCTCGTTAACTCATCCTCTCTTCTCTTTTCTCGACTCACCCTCCTATCCCTTTCTTTCATCCACTGACCTCACTGCTTCATCCCCCTTTCTATCCCTCACCCCTCTATTGGATATGTATCAGAGCTTTCAAGATTCATGTTTCTCCGATGTAATTATGACTTCATTGTTGATGTGAACGCTACTTACCTGTCGGAAACTGGTAGTTATGGTAACTCTGATATGATGGGAAGATAGCATAAGTGTATTCCCATTCATCCATCCATCCATCCATCCATCCATCGTTCCATCCATCCATCCATCCATCCATCCATCCTAAATGTCCATTGCTTTCAAATTGGGCTGAACAATTCATTGAAATATGATTGTAATTGCCAAGTGCAATATCCAAATCCCAGGAGCTGTAACTTTTTGGATAAAGGTAAAATATGTCACAACAGACCATAAATAAAGCATTGTGATGCTACAGATGCATTTTTGGAACAAGACCCAACAAAAATCACATCAAAATGAAATGTAAAAAATGACCATTCCAACTGAAATTGTGACTCACATCACAATCGCTGCAAAATAATCGCAATATGATTTTTTTTTTCTGTATACCGTTTAGCCCTACTTTAACCACGTGCTGTCGTGGGACGTTCCTGGCTACTGAGTTCACACGTCTGAAATTGATTCAAAGCAAGTGTCTGTTCATTCACTGTGAACTGTTAACTTACGGCTCTCCTCCTCCCCATTCCCCAAATCATCATCCTCCTCCTCCTCCTCTTCTTCCTCTGGGAGCAGATGTCCATGGCAGGGACTGGTAGGAGTTATTTGACTGGGTCCTTCGAGGCTAGTGCCCAGCTGCAACTTCCTCATGTGGCGTACCACCGCTGTGGCATTAAATGCTTGCTACATGGACACAGACAGAGAGGAAGAAAAAAAAGAACCTTCTGCGTCTGACAGCCAGTGAGACACAGAAACAGCAAAGGCAAAGAAGATGTGCTCTAACTCCTGCCAATCTTAATACTGCTCTCTCAGCAGGTTGTGCTGTGATTCAGCCAAGGCACTGACCTTCCATTTACTTTTGGCAAAGTTCTTCTTGATTTGAGCACTGACAGATTCATGGATATTCTTGTCCAGAGCTGTGTCTCCACAGATCCTGCAAAGTCACCAAATGTTAGATAATTTACAGCATTAATCATTAATCATCAACTATTTATCAATTAATCAATTAATTGTTCCAATCATTTTTCACATTAGTTCCAGCTTATCAAATGCGAAGATTTGATACTTTTCTTTTTTTTCATATGTGTGTGATTGTAAACGGAATAGCTTTGAGTTTTGCACTGTTGGTCAGATAACATTTTATAGGCAGAAAGATGAATCATTTAATTAAGGAAATAATGAACACATTAATCGATAATGAAAACATGTTTAGCTGCAGCTCTACTATCGATTATTTCTTCAAAATAATATTTTTTTTTGTTTTTGTTTTTTTTAGTCCATTGACAAGGTGATCTTGATCATTTTACAATAATACAAAACATATAAAAGCAGCAAATTCTCATATGAAGCTAGAAAAACTTCAGTAATTTGCCTGATAAATGTCTTAATAGATTAATCTCTTACTGAATTTGCTGGTGCTTAATTTCAGTTCAATTAAAACTGAAATCGTTTGTCAGGTCTTTCAATCAAGTAATTGAGAAATAGTTTCAGCACTGCACATTTCTTGACTTTCTTACCATGGATGCTGGAGGGCCTGGTCACATGTATATCTCTTCAAAGGGTCTTTTTCCATCAGGTGACAGATGAAGTCTTTGGCTGTGAACAAAAAAAAATCACGTAATAGGACCCTCGGACTTCTTAGATTTCAGTGTTGGATCTCCTGAAGATATTTGTAGTAAATGATAGTACCTGAATCTGAGATGTCATCCCAGTACGGAGAGTCAAATTCATACTCTGCTTTCAGAATCTGCTCAAATAACTTGGCATCATTTTCATCGTAAAACGGAGGATATCCACATAACCTGAGGGAGAGGTGTTGGAGCACATTCAAAACTATAGAAGTAGCACTTTTCATACTTCCCAGGAATAAATGAGTTCTGACTTACAGGATATATGAAATAACTCCTATGGACCAGCAATCCACTGCTTTGCTGTACGGCTTCTGAGCGAGCACCTCAGGAGCTGTGAAACACACACGGCACACACATTCACGGAATGGAAAATGTATGAGCAGCAGCAGCAACGAGGGTGAATTCAAGTTATCTTGACCTTTCAGTAATACCATGCGATGTGGTAGGTCACGTTAAACAGGTAGAGAGCACTTCTGAAACACTTGCAACTGACTCAGTCGTGGATGAAAGAGCCTCTCACAGCGCAGCGAATGAAGAGGGGATATCAGTTGAAACGGCAAGTACCGAGCTCACATGAAAGAGAGGGGGGAGGTGAGGAGAGCCTGACCGACGAGAGGAATAAACGCCTTACCCACATAACCTGGAGTACCACAGGCTGTGGACATGACACTGCCTGCTCCCTCAATTTTTGACAGTCCAAAGTCACTGATCATGATCTTGGAGTCTTCGTCCATGCTGTAATACAGCAAATTCTCTGGCTGCAAGCACAAGAAGACATGATCAAAGAGGAGGGTGTGAAAATGTGAGGAAAAGGGCCGAACTGTAAGACAGATTGAGCTGTTACGTTTCTGTCTTTCATGAAGTACGATACCTTCAAGTCTCTGTGGACGATCCCCATGTCGTGGAGATATTTGACTGCATCTAAGATCTGGTGGATGAGCTGGCTGGCATCCCTCTCTGTGTAGAAACCTTTCTCCACGATCCTGTCGAACAGCTCACCTCCAGATACCCTGGCAGGTGAAAATCATGGGAAAAGAGTCCCTGACCTTTAGTGTGAGCACTAGTTAAATCAGTCTTTTTTTCAATTAATGAATGATTTCATATTCATGTTTTCAGCCAAACACTGTTTTAACCCACATATCTTTATTCTCTAAAGTTACCAATATTAAATTGTAGGTAAATAAAATGACATAAAAAAGTGGAAAATGGCCTGGAAAATGGTCGTCACAAGTTCTCAGATTCCATGGCAACATGCGGAAATGTCTTGTTTTTTTCCGACCAGCAGTCCAAAACCCAAAGATATTCAACATACAATTATGTAAATAGAGAAAATCAGCAAATATTGTGGCAGTTTTGCTTGATAAATTGATACATTTTCTGTCAAAATAATTAATTAAATCAAATGTTTCAACTCAAATTTACAGTAATTCACAATTGCATGTTAACTGCATGCTTTCCGTCATATAATCGGTCCTTCTGTAAGACAAAGAGGAAGGACAACTCACAGCTGCATGACAAGGTATAGGTGAGATGTACTTTCAAAGATGTCCTCCAGTGAAACAATGTTGGGGTGCTTGATTCTGAGGAAAAGAAGTAGACAAAAATCATCAGTCAAAATCTATGAAAATGTGCCACATTTCTCTAATGCTTACTGTCAAACGGTCACCAGATGGCATTCTTGCAGCATAATTCAGATTTCTGTTCTGTCTTTCTCTCTCTCTCTCTCTCTTTTTTTATTTTTATTTTTTTTATTGGAAAGCCCGTCAGTTTACACTGTTCCCCAAAAATACAAAATGACAAAATTTGTAAGAACAAACACAGCAAAGCGTAAGATGGATACTGCCTCTTGTTGAGAATGACAGTTACTGGCTTCTGAGGCTGGAAGCATTGACAAAGAACGGCTTTGGATATTATAGCGATGGCTTGACAGAATGACTGTGAAAAAATGCCATTCTTGCACACAGAAACCTGATTTGGATCATTTATTGTCATAAACCAGCGAACAGGCAGTCAAGCGTCTCTCTTGGATCTCGAGTGGTGCTGAGAGCGTGTGAACTCACCATCGCTTTAACACAGCAGCAGCTGAAAGGGGCTAATGTGACTTTTATTGGAATGAGAGTATCCCTCTCTGTTTTTCTCTGATTATTTTTCAGCTTTCTTCATGTCTCTCGCTCTCGTCACTCGCTTATCTCTTTAATGGTGACTTTGAGTGTATGGCCAAACTCCATTCTTCCACATCTTTCTCCTTCTATCATACCCTACCTCCCTCACCACTTCTCCACCCTCTATGTCTCTTTCTCTTTCTTCAATACACTGCTGCGGGGAACTCCACACCATCTCCGTCTCTGTGTGCTGTTGCCCTGGCAACAGGGACACTAAAAATAGGTCTATCTTCTTTACTCCTGACATTTCCGGTGCACAATCCTACTGTTTCTACTGACACCATGTATTTAGTCACCCATACAATTGACCCCTTGCATGTATATTGTGCAACTGTACATGCATTGTTGTAAGAGGTGTGCACTGACTAATTCCTCCTGCTGGATGTAAAGTGACAGCTGAGGCATCGCGAGGAACTTCGGTGGCATCACCTGTGTAGTACTGCGATCTCATTTTCGATGTTGTTCTCTTTGCCTTCCAACGCTTTCTTGGGGATGCACTTGATGGCCACCAGCCTCTGGGTCCTCTTCTCCTCGGCTAGAACCACCTCGGAGAAAGCTCCCCTAAAAGAGAGGCAGTGGAAACACACACGCACGCACACACACGCACACACGCACACACATGCGCACACACACACACACACACACACACACACACATGCACACATGCACACATGCACACATTAGAGAAAGAATGAGAACTGTGTGGGAGTGTAGGGTGAAATGGACAAGATCAGAAAGCTAAAGGAAAGTAGGACTCATTCTTCCTCGGCTGCAGGCGATGATGGCTTGAGAGTGTTACACAATAGGAGATAATAACAAGAAATCCTTCTTGAAATCTTTTAAGTGCGATTGAGTTTTTAGATATTTTTGTGACCTCATGAAATTGATTGTCAACTGACCCAAACCCTAACACTGGTATTTTTAAAAAAGATCTCCTAATACATTGCAATCAACCATCTGGGTGTGTGTTTGTGGGGCATAGGTGCATGTGTGTGTGTGGATGAATAATTAAAAATGGTGACATTACTGAGAGGTTTAGGGAACTGAGAAAGGCTATGGGAGGTGAAGCAACAGTCACATAGAGACATATAGGAATAGCAGTTGCTTTGAAAAAAAAAAACAACTATTTTTAATCCATTCAATAATGGATGCAGTAAATGTAGTGTAGCTGTTTCTGAGGGAGACTAGACTGCATTATGGATTATGGTCTGGTGATGATGAGAGCGAGAATAGTGTGTATTTACACAGTCTCCCCACAGGAGCGTGGGAGGGAGCTCAGGAGGAGGCCTGAACGCACGAACATTGTCAGCAACCACAGGGATCCTTTACATGTGTGTGAAACAGCACCATCATGCAATACACAATGGATGTTCAAAGTAGCATATATTTTGTCTTCTTCTCCATTTGTCACACCATGGACCATCTTTAACTTAACACTTAAGTCTGCAACCTTGAGTACAAGGATGCAGACTTCAGAGTTGCTGTTGCCAATAGCGACCCTGTTTATTCTGCTTTTAATGGTTATTAACACCTAATCTGAAGAGTTATTGTGCAACCTGACCGCTTCTCAGTAAACCTCCCCCGCTGTGATTTTTTTTTCCCATCATGTCATAATAAATGCTCAGTGTGAATGTGTGGTAAATCGTTGAGATGGCTTTGTATCGTGGCCATCTTGTGCTCAACGAACCAGCGCAGCAGAAACGTTTGCATAGTGAAGCTGATGCACAAGAGGAGAGCCGATTCTCACACACATCTCCGGTTTCATTTTTTTTTTTTTACAGAGTCCTTGAAATAATCTCAAAGCAAAATCACATAAAGCTCCAATTCCCTTCAACCCATAAAAGCATTTTAATGTGTTTAAGTCTGCAGCCTCTATTGCCAGGGTTTCATCAGAGGGTCGAGAGTGTTAAACTTCTATTATCGGTCAGGAACAATCTATTTAGTCTTATTGGCTGTTTGAAATAGGACAGTCAGGGGGCTGAGGCTATAGGACTCAGAAAGCTAAAGGTGAGGACTGATGTGTCAATATATCATGAAAATGTGGGAAATACTTCCTCACTGAAAACAGCATTTCTGTTGTTTGTAAGATTAGATTACCAACACATATAGTATTTCTTAGATGGAGAGGAAGCTTTGCTTGTTAGCTTTCAAAATGGACCAATTTAAGGCAAGAAAAATTGCATCAGGTTTACATGAGCCCTGAAATATGGTGCAGTGACAGCGATGAAATCCTCAAAATCCAGCTATCTGTTGTTTTCAAGTGATGCCTGCAGCTATCGAGAAATAGCGATGTCAGTCTTTGGCCAGACTTTGGTCCAGACTTAAATGTCTCCACAACTATTGAATGGATTGCCATGAACAGATGCAATGAACAGATATTCATGGTCCCCAGAGGATGGTGATTACTCTACAATATTGTTAGAGCAATTTATGGTATGCTAGTACTACAGCAAATATTATCGACAGTTTATACTGTATGTGACCTGATCCACGGTCATAGATCCTATTATTCAAACCTTTATTATGTAATACAACTTCTGAAAGAAAAAATCCCAGAAATGAAATATAGTTTGTTCGTATACGATCGTGTGACTGCATGTGAGCTGGACTGACAATTGAAAAGCTATGTAGAACTACATGTCTGCATCATTTCACCCAATATTTTTGACTGACAGAATGACTGAGAGCAAGTGAAAGAGCTAGAAGAGGATGTACACACACACACACACACACACACACACACACACACACACACACGCATGCACACACACTTTTCTACTGTTGCCGTGAGACACATTGTAATTAACCATCCAGTTGCTCATTTCTCCTTGGAGACGTAGTAGGGGTGGGCTCTCAGCGGGTTTGGGAGAGGAACACAGGATGGAGGAAAAGAGGAAGCTACTGTAGCTGTTACTCTGAACTAATGAGATTTTGTGAAGCACTAATGTGTAGATCTCTGCATTAGACATGAGTAAAATTGGTTTATGTTACTGTCCAGCCTTATAGACTGCAGTCTCTTCAGTCTCTTTCATTCCACAAGCAATCAGCAACAAGCCACTGAAATTTTTGACATATCATTTTCTATCTATTTTATGCCAGTAAAGAATTCTGGCACACATGTTAACTTGCTGCTAACAAATTCAAATAAATAAGTTTCACATGAGTCATTGGTCTCAAGACTCATATCTGACGCATCTGTCAGCTCGGCTGTTTTTGTGCACATGAACAAGACTGCCACAGCATCTATAGAGATACTAACAGATAAACTGAAACTCCATAAGATACATAGATGCACCATGAAAACTTAAGAAATATCCAAACTAGTTGAGACTAACTGGTAATGTGCAAATCTGTTGCTAGCACTGTCCAATCAAAAGCAATTAACTGAAATTCACTGTACCTTTTTAAGAGGGCAAATTATATATTAAACTTAACTGCCAATATGTATCACTTTATTTTATCTATATTTAACAAGACCTCTTATCAATATGTGTTTTTTAGACCTAGTATGGAGTTTAGAAAGATTGTGCTAACATAGCTAACATTATTTGGCCATTTAGCAAAATGTTATTAGCATAAGGCTTGGTAATTTGAGGTATGTAGTGTTATCAAGGCATCAGATGTAGAGTCAAAAATGGAAATATAACTTCAGGCAATATCACATGCAGATCAATATGCTGATGCAAACAAATGAAGAGACTGAGTAGGGCCTGATCCAGGCCTCTTATTAGTAAGGTGTGACCTAATATGTTGAGAGACTCTGTCCCCCCTCCCGGAAAATCTTCAATCTAAAATGGCTCTATATTAGCAAGCTAGCAATAGTTTTGTCACTTATTTCAGTTGCTTATGGTTATGTTTTTTAATGATTAAATGCTACATTTATTAACAGCAGCAGAGTCACCAGAAGGTGATCAGGGTTGGAAGATGGGTGTACAAGGTGCAAAGACTGTCGCACCAGAGACCAGGGTTTGTATCCACAGTCCGCTCTGTGTTTATAGGCCTAGGCAACAAAAGCATTTTGGTTAAGGTGGGGGAAACATTTGTTTTGTTGGTTAAATGAAAATAAACTTTTTCTGTATTAGACCAAAATTGTAGGGGACAGTGTTGCTGACATTATAACTAGGCTAGATTTGGACTTCTGAACAGCTGCTGCACCCAGCTCTACACACGATCAAGAGATTGATGTAATTAAAGCTCACTGCATCTCCCTCACAATGATGGATGTTTGCCACAATTCATAATGTTATTTTTTTTTTTTTGCATTAGCGAGATGCACTATCAATCAGGTAGAGTCAGGCCCCTTGGACCTGTTGCAGACAGCTAGGACCATCCATCAGTGTATCGATCTCACCTGATGCAAGTGCTCCCTTCAAGCCTCACATGCTTCCAAGTTCCAAAAAAAGCTTTCTCTTTTTAGCCTAATCCATTTTGTGTGTGTGCTGGTTAGTGTGTGCGCGCGTGTGTGTGTGTGTGTGTGTGTGTGTGTGTGTCTGAGTTGAACAGAAAACAGTGGCATATGTGCGGACATACAATATAATCCCATTCCAACCAAACCAATCTCCAGATCCATTCTTATATTATGAAAATTAACATCTTTTATTCATCAAAAAAATAGCTCGCCTCTGGACCATTCACTAACAATCATACAAATGTATGTCCTCCATCTACTCTACTAAAGTCACGTGTAGGTCAAACCTCTTAGCTCCACTGCTTTGCTCTATAAACAAACCAACCAGCACAAGTGCTTTCCAACAGTGTTTAGTACTACACAGTCACAATGTTTATGCTCTTACACATGATCCACCTGGACTCCAGTAGCTCTTAAATCTGCCCTGCCCCATTTTGTATCTTTTTTTCTTTTTTAAGCCGCTATGAAAAAAAAATCATTTTTAGTTATCCTCTGTTTCTGAGTGCAACTGCTAAATATCTACTGTATGTTTGAATATCCTTAAAAAACATGCAATTTAATAATGAATCAAAAAGCACTAGGACCATAGAAAATGGCTGCTGCTCCTGCTGAGCGTCAACACCAGATTCTGAAACTCTTTGCAGGTTTTCTTGCTTAGGGCTCATTATTTTGGGTGTTCATGTTACTTTCATCCCATCACAAAACTGTTGAGTTTTAGTTTTGTGATGGAGAGATCTGAAAGCAGATTTGAGCATCAGCAATACACTTAAGAAGTACTCTGCTGTGGATGGTTTTAACATTAACTGCTGTGCTGCAGTCTGAAATTGTTTTGTTAACTGGCCCCATGCTCTTCATTTCTGTCAGACAAGTTGCCAGCTCACCGGGATATCTCTGTCCACAGGGCTCGCAAACTGAACTAATGCCCATGCATCAATATCACTACTCCTAACTAACCCTCTAAGTACATGAAAACACCAAACCCTGGACAAAAGTTATTATCTCAAAGTAATTTCAAGTTACATTTAATGAAATTTTACACGGTAGACATGATGTCTGCATAAAGAGTTGATACAGAAAATAACAGCTGCTCTACTCTCTCCTCCTATCCTATCTTTAACAACAAGACTATGTCAAAACCTAATGTATGGCTGGACCATGTATGGTCAATGTGAAATTGACGAGAGAGTTGAAAACTGGAACCGCTTTAAATATCTCCTCTTAATGGAAAGTAGCTAAAGTCCCCTCAAAAAGTCGCTACATGTTGCTAGATGACGTAATATGCTAATTAAATTCATGAGGTCATTTCGATTGCATTTGCATTATCTCTGTGCTTCTCTCCTACTCCCTGTACTCACATATACAGTATTTCAATACAGTTAAATTCCCAATAAAGCTGTTCTTATTTACATGATTTTATGTCGTCAGACAATGAAACAAGTTTGAAATAGTGACTATAACCTGTCCCATTAAGACTAACTGTTAACCAGCCATTTTCAGGCTGCTGCTCTGCACTGCTAAAATTCTGATTTTATAATCGCAAAATCATCTGACAAATTCATCATATCCACAAGTTATAGACAACAGCTGTTCTGTGATTTTGGCTACTTGTAAAAATGATCACTCAGAGAGAAATTTAGAGTCTCATCCATGTCCATCTCAGCTGCCGTGTGGTGAGTTGAATGAGAGGCATAGAGAGGTGTGCCTGTAGTGGGAAATCCTGACTTCACGCTCGCAGGGCATCACTGGTGACTCTCTCCTACAGGAAACAACTAAGGTTCGTCCAAAAAATCTTTTGTAGAGTTGCTAAAGGGATCTGAAAAGTTCTAGTGACCAAAGCTGGTTGGTAACATTGCCTGTAAACACACCTGATGACGTAATAGGAACTGTTTGTACCATTTCATTTTGAACAGCCAATGGGGAAACTCCAACACTCGGCCAGCTGACCAATGATGTAACTTCAGCCCCCAGTCAACTCAAGAGACATTTGCGTTTATAGGGGTGGCCTCAAGTTTACATTTTAGATTATCTGAATGAGCCAAAAATATATATATCCAAACACAATATAATGTCTTAATAGATGAGCTTTAGAGGTGCTGATATATGGATTTTATTACCTTACGTTCCTGCCTGTTTCCAGTTTTTATAGTAGTCTAAGCGAGGGCTAACTGGTATCTAGCAGTAGCTTCATATTTACCGTACAGATATGCGAGTGGTATTAATCTTCTCATGTAACTTTCGACAAGAAAGCACATTGATGAGTCTTTCCCAAAATGTCAAACTATTCCTTCAACGATTATATTCATTATCATTATTAAAAGAAACATATTTATTCACTTTCTGCCTTTTATTTCTTCTTTAAAAGTTTCACTTTTTCAATCTGTGGCACTGAGACACGACAACGACACAACGAACATCTCTAAGAAGAGTTATATCAGAGCTGTCTTATTCATTTCATCCTCAGTATATAACATCGTTTAAGCCTAACAGTGTTAATGAGAATGACAAAGAAAACAGGTGTGATCAAAGAGTGATAGTCATGATAACTGAAGAGTGAGGGGATTTTTTTTATTTATTCATCTTCTAACCCTACCTTCAGGACAGCTTGTCCTGAAGTGGACTACAAACAGAGGTAGAACTGTGAGGATTAGCCGGATCTGAATATAATATTTCAACATAAATCAATTAACTTCACACACTGAATTCCTGGATAAAGCTCCACTGTAATCTCCTCTCCGAGCATAAGGAGCTTTCCGTCAACACATTAATTCTGCCCTCTGCCAGGTCCAGCTATAGTGACAGGAGGGAAAGAATATTACTACAGCTTTTTCTCTCCTTTTTTCCTGAAATGAGAACATACTATCCTGGCAATTGACTCTTTAAATCCTTGTTACATAATCCTTAATATCATCCTTCTAAATTACAGTCACTGTTTTAAGTTCCTGTGAAGTCTCGGTGGAATCATAACAGAAGTTATCAGCGTTTAGCAGCAGTCATGAATTCTCAAATATACAGCCTGCTAGTCAAAGTGCATTGCACACAGCATGCACAGCTCTGAGACAGACTGACGGAGTCTTATTTGGCGTCCTCCTGCAGGACTCAACATACCCAGACAGCCTCATCATCTACCCACTGATAGTTCACTTTTTTTGGATGTGGACCAGAGTTGTGCAGTCATTAATATCTGATTCTGTGCAGCCTCTCTGGGGAAGCAGGTGTGATTCCAAGAAGAAAGAAAACAACCACACTCCATATGGCACACTCGTGTCATCACAGGTGGACATGTGCTAGGTCACTTGTACTTGGTTTTAGAGGGGGGTGGAGATGTGCCCCTCGACCATCTGGGCTCAATCCTGTCCCCCTGGAGCGTGCAGTCACAGGTCTGTGTGAGTCCAGCCCTCACCATTACTGTCTGCAAGGCAACCTTCCCCCTAGCTGGTTGAAGATTAATTCTGCAATTTATTATAAGAGGCATATTAAATCAAAATGTAAATGTAAATATAATCTATTTCGGATCCCAGGCTGTCTAGCAATATAAAATGTAATCAGGGCCACAGGAAATATAAGTTGCCACCTGGTTTCATGTGGGTGGATTGAACTTGGGGTTTTTCAGGCAAATTGCAGCCAGCAGTTGCAGTAACAGGTCTGTGTCATCTTCAGTCAAAAGTTTTCTCTTGATTAACTGTCTCTTACATGCCCCCAGTCAATCATCACATGATCAGATAAAGGTGTAGCTGCTTCCCACATTCGGAGAGGATGGGGTCGTGTTCAGAATCCCAATTTTAACTAGGTTGCATGATGTGGTAAGAAAAGAACCGTTGCATTTAGTCACATAGTTCCAGGGAAGGTGGCAGGACGACATGTGTGCTTTCACAGCTTTCATAGAAAAGAGAAAAATGTTTGTGCACTAACAAGAGCTCAAAACCAAGTTAGATCTACTATGCAGGTCAGTCTGCCTAAATATCATCTCCTCTGTTACACCAGTACAACTGTTCACATTATCGATACTGGGATGATTGATCTAGGTTCTTGATTTTATTATATTTAACATGGATAAAAATGTATAGAACGATGTGTGAAATGGCTAAGATAGTGAATCTGCCATCAGCTGTTCAGGTCACTTTAGTTTTTAAAGACAATTGCTCATCCTGACAAATACTGACGTAATATCCGAGGAAGAAAGAATAAGGTGTTGTTTAATAACAAACATAACTCCATGTAAGTGGCCTCACATACCCGCATCCGCACATTTGCATGTGCAAACATACACAATTGTAGTTCCAGATACAAGACCTTTTTTAAGGTCTTGGTCAACAACAGTCAGAGATTGATAAACTCGAAGCCACATCTAAAACAAGATTTATTACGTTATTAATGCTTTTTATATATTCTGCCATTTTATTTGTAGTGACTTTGACCAGTCAATCCATAAAACTTAGCTGCAATCCCTTTAAAATGCCTTTGTACCTCTGAGAGGAAAATCAAGTTGGCAAGAGAGGGGAGGAAAAGCACTTTTGAATACTTTTAGAGGACTGGGAAATAGTTGAGTCAGCATCCAACAGTGGCCAAGAACAAGACAAGTCAAAATAGACATAAGTGAAGGGCATATCCAAAATGTCAATCAAGTTTCTTGAGACAGACTCCAGAGTCTACACTCAAATTCTGCAGCCCTGGCAGGATGGACAGATGGGGAAAAACTAAGCGATGGGCCCCTTGTGACCCCTTGGTTTCTTCGGCACTATGTAAATTGTGTACTGTGGGTACTGGCACGTACCCATCCATTACAGTGCATACAGCATGGGCAGCTCCCTACCTGATCCCACGCTTGCTGGTATTTTGATTTAAACGTGTAATCCATGTAAGAACAACAAAATCTCTGATAACAAAAACAGATTTCACAAAGGGCATCCTCTAAAATAGGGCCTCTAGACTAACCCATATTTAAGGGTCAGTTCAAAATTATGTTCTTAGTGTTTGTCTAGTTATGTTGATCATTTTCAATTCATGTTCAAAAGGTTTGAGGTGTCCACAGCTGAAACCTCTGCAGCCACCCCAACACATGGAGCCAAATGGAAACAGTCCAATGAAGGTAAATGGCACTAAAAAGGACTGGAAGAAATGAAGAGAATGACACCGTTCCTGAATAAATGTCGCAGGTATTTATGTACCGACTGACACACAGTGAAACTGGAGAGATCATGGGCCCCTGAGGGTCTGAGGGTCACTTTTGCAGTAGCCCACTTTGCCCAGTTGGTAATCCAGCCTTGTCCTGATAACAGCACTAAATTTACAGTATACAACTTACGTTCCCAGCACTTCTTTGAAGTCATAATGTTCTTTGATGTCTGATGTCTTCTTTTTCCATCCATTTCCATCCTCTCCAAGAGGCATCCTACAACGCTGATCGGATTCGCCACACTACAGCTACGGGGCAAGAAGAACAGAATTAAAAACTTTGAATAGACTCGGAGTAGAGTTTTATCCCCCACATGTGCCCTCTGGTGTTACATGAAAATAAGTGATTAAGACAAAAAATTTCCCCAATGCCTATATTACAGTAGTTTTATATTTGTTTTTTTTTTTTTTTTTTTTTTACCACTTTCCGATGTTGTCTCTGTTAAACACATCATTCTGGCACACAGTGGGGAAGTAATAGCTAAAACTTGACTTGAAATATTACACCACAATTCACTCTGCTATTGTTTAACATGCTTAATTAAGAGTATTTACACTGCAAGAGATGTTCTGCCTCTGCATCAGTTCAATCGATCCATTACAGTTTGTCTGACTGATGTGACTGTTGCTTAAAACCTGCAGTCATTAAATAAACCATTGATTTTCCTGATGAAGTACTCTGGTTGCTGCATCTCATGCTTGGGTTTTTAACACCACTACATTGAAGCTGTAGCCTGCTGCAGTCTCTTTCTCTTTCCTTTAAATATTTGCTCTTCATTCCATTTATGAGATGGGATACATTAGAGAGAACACTTTTATGAGGCTGAGGAGAATGTTAAGAACAGACTGACACATAAAACAGAAACAAGAGACAAAAATAAACTTGCACACTGATATAAAGATATGACTACTACCCCCTCCCTCCCACCCCCCTAAAAAAACTACACAGGGTAACCACATACTTCTTTGCTTAGAACCGGCCTTGCAACAATGAATAGCAACAAATAACAGCTTGAAAGTAGGGCAAACAGTGCAGCAGAGACGGTCGCAAGAAAGGGACCATGTAGCCTACCGTCGCAAAAACAAACGCATGGTCAGTAGAGGCAGATACCAGCTGGGGGACCTGTGCTATATTTAACATCTGAAGCTTTAAACCTTCATTTTGCTCTGAAGAAAGAAAAAAAAACCACAGATACAACAAGAGCTCTGCTCGAATGGAAACTGTATTCCACTGAGAAACATTTGATAAGGTGCTCTGCACTAAGGCTGCAGGGCGTGAATGACAACCAGGAGGATAAATGGAAATTATAAGGTTTTGCCGGTGCAATATGTCTGCAATGATGAAATGAGTTTTTTTAATTTTTTTATTTGTCGTAGTGATCATGCATGTAAGCTACAGTAAAGAAAAGGCGGTGTGGGTGTGCGCACCGTAGCCTATACTGCAGCGCTCAAGGGTATGGCAGTCAAAGGAAGGCAGCATCTTTAGGTTAGATCAGGAGGCTGCAGATATGCGACATGGAAGCTGCTTCAAGTTTTATTGCTTAAAGAAAAAATATATATACACGGTTGACAGAGGAAATATAAATGTGAGAAAAAAATACATACCTAAATGGCGATCTGTAGCTGTGATGTGTTCTCCTTCCCTCTGGGAGCGATGTGGTTGTTGTGCTTGGGCGCAGCGCTGGGTCCGCTCAGACTTCTCCTGACGTCAAGAAAACCAGACGTCTGTGGACGTAGTGCAGCATAAAATCACTCACTGTTCTCTTAACAACGTGATCTGCGATTCACCTTATGATAGTCGAACCACCGTCTGTTATGTGAACAGCTTTTTTGGTACATCTGCTTGTTATTTTATTTATTTATTTATTTATTTTTGAAGAAATCTTCTTGCAGTAGAGAGAGGGGTAATGCTGTCGCTGTAGCAGAGTATGTGGGGTATGCAGACAATTTTAAGGGCTTTTCAAAACAGGAATAACGTGTCACCGTGAATAATTTATCACAAAGCACTAACAAGGAACACACAAACAGCATGTATAGAATTAAAGTATTTAGTTTGTTCATGATAAAAAATATGTCCTAGAATGAAAGAGGATGAGTACCTCTCAAACCAAAAGGCTTTAGGCAGTTTGCAAGGTATTAAAGGTCTAATCTTTCCTAAAGTCCACCAGAGGTGTGTGAGGGGTGGAGCCCGGCCAGTTAAATGACAATCATGCTATACAGAGAATTTCTCTTATGAACTATGTATTTCTTATGTAAATTTAGCACTAACTTCAGTTTATGCTGTGCACTCTGCTTTTTTTCTTCTTCTCTTAAGCACTTTGTAAACTTGTTTTTGAAAGTACTTAATAAATAAAGGTTATTATTGTTGTTGTTGCTGAAACTTCCTGGCATTGTATTTGTGAAATAATTCATTTTTATTATTTGTTGGTTCATAAAGCACTGAATGATTCAGGGCTAAAATAGGCTACATTTTGTTACTTTCTCTTTTTAAATACCATTTATGCACGTCGTTTTATATTGTCCTGTGTTTCCTGTGTTGTCTATTTTCAAAATGCTTTTCTGTTTCGTGTAAAGCACATACATTTTTTACATGTGTTAAACAAATAAACTTCCCTGAGCTGAAGTGTTACAGGGTTTGATAGGCCAACATTCTTCCTCAGACACAAACTTACACTACTGTCTAAAAACTAGGACTACTATTGTAGGCCCACTAATATTAGTATTACAATTAAAAATACATTGGTCTATTTTTAAATTGTCTATTGGTGCATCTACTGTCTATGGCAGGCACAAACTATTGGGTGCAAATCCCCCCCGAAACTCTAGGGTGCAGCACTGTCTCATGTGGCGCTCTACTTCTCTTCCGGGCAGGAGTTTTCAAACAACAGTAGCTAGCCAAGTAGCCGTTACACATTTTTTTGCTCAGGGAACTACGGCAAACTTTGCTGCGTTTTGGGTACGAGTTTGTCTTTTTTAAAAGTCAACTCCTTTGTTTATTTATCATAGGTTGCATGTGTTGTTTTTGGTAACTTTATTATATTTAGATTGGCTGTTTTGATATGAAAGCGACAAACCAGCTAGGATAACATGCTAACAGCCGCTTGTCTGTTTGCTTTGTTTCATACATTTAACGCTCCAGTTCACTCTTGTTCTCTTGTTATGAATGACCAGAGGGTCTGTCGATGTTCTCTTTAACTTTTTTATTAATCGCGTCTAAATCGGATCAAAATCCATAGTAAGATTAACTTATTTTGCTGTTTTTGTAGCTAGCGGGCTAGCTTGTTGTTAAGCGATGTCTGCGAGCTCCAAGAGGAGAAGAGCAACTTCACCCTCCAGCAGTGTCAGCGGAGGGGGAGATCTCGATGATACCTCCTCTTCTACTCCTGGAAGTGGCAGGAAAAGGAGAAGAACCTCCAATGTTCCTCCTGTAGATATGGTAATTGCACGTCCATTTTTTTTGTATGAATTAAATGCGTGATATCGGCGATGTGGGATCTTCTCCTTCTCCCCATGTGCGCATTTGTAAACATAACAAGGTAGTTGTGATCTCTTATTAGTCTTTTGCCTTCCCAGATCGCTGTATGCCATGAGTTGTTCAACGCTGTCAGGGACCACAAGGATGATCAAGGGAGGCAACTTTGTGAAGTTTTTCAAAGGGTACCAAAGAGAAGGTAGGGTTGCATGGAATATGGTTATTGAGATAAACATTGCAGTTAACGTGAATACCCACCATTACATAAATGACTGCATTGCATATGGGTGGGTATTGTGCTAAATATAGTAAATATAGTAGGATAATATAATGATGTTTGTTCTTTCTTGTGCTTTTTCAGGAATCAGCCTGATTATTATGACGTGGTGACTCAGCCAATTGATATGACAAAAATTCAGTATAAACTGAAGTCAGAAGATTATAGTGATGTGGAGCAGCTTACTGCAGATTTCCAGCTCATGTTCAACAATGCCAAATCTTTCTACAAGGTATGAAAGAAAGAGAAATTCTACTCTAAACGTTTTTATTTTACTTAAAAGTACTCTGTATAAGATTAAAATGACTATTGAGCTTATAAAATTTGTTATTGAAAACTTAAGAACAGTGCAGTGTGACTGTTGTGCATTTCATTGGGTGAGAGTACAGTTTTTCTGATACAACTATTAATAAATATATAATAACTGTTAATAATGTGTTAGTAAGGATTTATTAAGGAATATAATACCAGCAAACTAGTCATATTCAGTGTTGCATAAGAAAATTTGATTTTGTTTTCTGATTTGTATAAGAACATCCCGCTGACAGTCTTAATTGAGTCTATATTCTTTTTCACGTTCAACAATTCAGAGTGACAGTGAGGAGTATCATGCTGCATGCAAGCTGTGGGAGGTGTATTTGCAAACAAGGAATGAGTTTGTGCAGCCTGGAGATGGAGATGAGGATGATGAAGATGGTGACGATATGATGGATAATCCAGGAATGTCAGCTGAGGATGAGGTGAGTGATGATACTAATGAGATGTAATGTTAAGTTGCCTTGTCTGACTGTATTATTGTCACTTATTTGCATAATTTATGTGTGTAACATATTAGGAAATGGAATAAAAAATAAGTCCAGTTCCTTTTTTTTTAATGAATGAAACATGTATTTTCAGTGTTTTTGTTGGTTGACATGCTTCTAATGTGCATTTTGTGGAAAATTAGTGTTTGTTATATTCAATAACAAGGAACTGACATCCTACTGGAGACCTTAGTTTTGCATATTTATCTTTTAGACCTCAACTGGCAGTTTGAAGGAGGTGTTGGAGCAACTCTTGGAGGCTATAGTGTCCCACACTGATCCCTCAGGGCGTCTGGTCAGTGAACTGTTCCAGAAACTGCCTTCCAAAGTGGTAAGTCCTCATATAGTCTTTAGACTTCAAATGATGCCCCTGAAATTGTTTCACATTTTTGACATTTTCAGCCCTCTAGCAACAACACACAATTTATGACCCATTAAGAAAAATCACTCTATTCAGATTTTGTTTCTAATCTAACATTTTAGTAGTGTAGAGCCTCATTGTTTTTCAGTGGTATCATTCGACTAGTCAGCAGTCATGTTCTTTATTTTATCACTTTGAATTTTTCTCTTTTCTAGCATTACCCAGACTACTATGCCATTATAAAGGAGCCAATAGATTTGCGAACAATCGCTCAAAGAATACAGGTAGTAAACTGACTTGCTGATGGAATTCACAGAATTCAGAACTTCATGATGTTTTATTCAAACCAACACTAATCTATTTTATTTGCATAGATTGGATACTATAAAGGTGTCAACGCAATGGCCAAGGACATTGACCTGATGGCCAAAAATGCCAAAACGTACAATGAACCGGGATCTCAGGTTTTTAAGGTAAACACTTTTTTTAAATTCAAAATTTTAAATAAGATTTAATATCTCAAATGTTAACAATGGCTATCTTACCGTGTAGGATGCTAACACCATAAAGAAAGTCTTCATCCAGCGGAAGACCGAACTTGAACACGCCGAACCCACAAAATCTAGTCTTCGCATCAGGTATTAAACAAAAATAGATTCAATGTACAGTTTTTCATCTCAAATAAGAGAAGATTATTCCATGACACAAAAAAGGGTCCTTTCAAGTTCTATATGACGTGTGCAATGTGTCTTTGCTGTTGCTATTCAGAAATCGCAGGTCTGGCCAGGGGGATCGGCTTTCTGGTGTCAGCGTGGCTCTTCACTACGGTTCAGAGAGTGAGGACGACCCTGTTCTCTCTGGTAAGTGTCCTTGCTTTAGGCAGCAGAGAAAGTTACTTTGTGTTTGCGTAACAGCTAACCAATTTACCATGTAAATGTTTGCAGGCTCCGTGTGCTACGATGAGGGAGAGTCAGAGGCTGAGAGTCAGAGTTCTAGTATGGAGATGAGCAACCCGATCTTTCAGCTGTATGAAGCTGTGAGGGGCGCCAGGAATAACCAGGGCCAGGTCTTCTCAGAACCTTTCCAGCAACTGCCCTCGCGCAGGGAATATCCCGATTATTACCAGCAGATAAAACAGCCCATCGCTCTGCAGCAGATCAGGTAAGGCACAGTTATTCAATATGTTTCATCAGCACTGTGTTAAAAGGAAAAATGGTGGATAGTTTAAAAAAAAATTGTTAAAATTTTAATTTCACCTGCTGGTGTGGTATGAGGTCACATTTAAAGATTCACTTGTGCAGGATTGAGCTCAAGTGTTTAAAATATTTGTTTCTTTTTAGGGCAAAGATGAAGAATGGGGAGTATGAAAGTGTGGACCAGATGGAGGCTGACCTCAATCTGATGTTTGAGAATGCAAAGCGCTACAACATGCCTAACTCAAGCATTTACAAACGGGCCTTCAGGCTCCAGCAGATCATGCAGGTAATTACTTCTGAATTATTCTGTCAGGTTTGCTGGAAGATGTTTTCACTCCACAGTTAAGTCAAGAAAAAGACCTTGTTTGAAACAGACCATGAGGGCATCTTGCAGGCATAGATAGACAAGCAAGTGTATGTGGAAGTACTGTATCCATCTGTCTGTCTCTTGTCTGTACAGGCAAAAAGAAGGGACCTTTTGAGGAGAGATGATGAGGACGGAGACAGCATTCTGTCATCTGATGCAGGGAGCGTCAAGAGGAAAAGGTATAACAGTTTTTCAT